TCAGTGGTCCGCTTTCTTAGCCTCCTGGCAATGGTCTCTTTTATTGTGGGTCGTTCCCGTTTGGTGGGCCAAGGGCGCATCGGCTCTGCCCTCAACCATAAGATGCACAAGTTAAATTGATCCTGTTGGGCTCAAGAAGCATGCTTGGCATTGGGAACACTTGTGCAATGTTGGGCTAGCTGATGAATTGGATCTGGTATGGTCAGCTGGCTCCATATCAATAGGACGCTGGGGGTCCGATAAATGTTGTCGAACATATTTGGTTGCCGGAGCAATGACCGCAGAGGCGTCTTTCTGATCTTCAAGGCCTGTGCCAATTGTCTCTGACCCAGGGTCGTTTGCGAAGCGGCATGATTGGGAAGTTGGCCGGTTGCATGATATGTCCCGAAACGGCGGCTAGCTGATAATGGCACATGTATGTGTCTAGACGTTGACATTTTTGCCCCTATACATTGGGCATTGGTCCTTTCCGGAGACCAGGTTCGAGAGGCCAACAACAAAATCATATTGCTGGCGGGCAGGACCAGCAAGCTCAGGGTGAACATCGATGAAAATAACGGATCATAATCCTTACATATATGATCACATTGCATAATGCGCACCGAATCACCAATTCGGAGCAAAGGGACCCATCTAACATGAGGCCCATGAATGATCGATGACGAACGTGCATCCGCAAATCCTCCCTAGCCACGATGGGGAAAATAATGGCCTGTGTCGAGTCAAAGGCATGACAAGCTCTTTTGTTAATATGATCTCTGAACGAATATATGGTGGCAAATTCGAATTTACAATGATTATAAATGGGTCGTCCGTCAAAACCATCTCTAAGTGGCCTAAACACATCTTCCGATAACCAGGGGATTTGATGCATCTGTTGGAGAAATCTTTTCAGCATACCCGCCTGAGGAAATTGCCTGTGACACTCAGGACAAGCCAAGGAGGTCTGAGGCTGGGGCGGTGAGGGTGGAATGTAATCATCAATGACACAATAAGGATAGTCCGGGTTGAGGATATAAACATCTGGAGGCATCTGATCAGAATCCGATATGGATTGGCGTTTGGTGGCCAGTGCTGCGGTCAAGCGATGGTAAGTCTCAGAAATGAGGGTCCAGGCGCCTCAATATCAATTCGGTTGAGAAAAAATGGTGGTATTCTCATGTGTCAAGTGCTATGGGGATCTGGTCACGCGTCTATAGTATTGGTTCATTATATTAGATATATTTCCCGAAAGCATTGCGAAATATTCTTCCGGAAAATCCCTTGAACACTGACACTTCGACACTTACACTTACACTTCCACATTTGCACTTGAACACTGACATTTCTACACTCACACTTGAACACTTACGCTTCCACACTGACACTTGAACACTGACACGTCTATACGTATCCCAGTGTAAGGGTAAAAAGCATCCAAGGGCAAGTATGCAAGTGTAAGTGCATTCCCAGTGCAAGGATGCAAATAAACTAAAAATATGAGTATGGAAAATTTGCACGGGAGATGTCCTAATGAAAAACATTTTCCTACTTTATAAATTCTCTCTAAGAGGCGGAGGGTAGGAAGAACAGCGTCAACCGAAAATGCAACCCTCTGCGGAGATCGCGCGTGTCGAGTGCGCGAAAGCAGGCGAGAGTGCGATTTGGCCGGTGCGCGCGCAACCCTCTGCGGAGATCGTGCGTGTCGAGTGAGCGAAATGCAGGCGAGAGTGCGATTTGGCCCGTGCCCGCGCAACCCTCTGCGGAGATCGTGCGTATCGAGTGCGCGAAATGCAGTTCCATACCCGCGCAACCCTCTGCGGAGATCATGCGTGTCGAGTGTACGAAATGCAGGCGAGAGTGCGATCTGTCCGGTCCGCTCGCAACCCTCTGCGGAGATCGTGCGTGTCGAGTGCGCGAAATCCCTTGCACTTGTTGTGTCCCTGCCTCAGCACTTTTCTGTGTTCATTCCAGCTCGCTTTTTTTCAATGAGATTTCCTGCAGCCGTGCACGCTGCTTCTCCCCTCATCAGCAGCTCAAATACTCACGACGATGAGTTGGGCCCTGCGCGCTAGTTCGTTCACTCGGCGCGCGAGCTGAACAGCGAGAGTACGCTAAAACATCTGCAGTGCCTGCTGTGTGTCACCTCATGCTACTTTGTCACGTTTTTCTTTGAGACAATCAATTAGTCAATGACAAGCATAGTGGTTGGTGAATTACATCCTAGAAAAGCTGTGTCCTAGAGTGAAGGAAACGTTACCTATAGACGCATCTCCTCTGACAGGTCATTGCTTCGACAAACTTGTTGCGTACCTGCCTCAATAACTTTCTGTGTTCATTCCAGCTCGCTTTTTTCAATGACATTTCCTGGAGGCGTGCACGCTACTTCTCCCCTTACCAGCAGCTCAAATGCTCACGACGATGAGCTGGGCAATCATCGCTTAGCCGCCGGTGGGGAGTTTAGGAGGCCTACGCGCTACTTCGTTCATTATATCTACAATGAAGACCTGCACCAGCAGCAGGCATAGACGCACACACACAGACAGGGACTCATACACACACATCACACACAGAGACCCACGCACTGCCTCAACTTACTCGGACACACACACAGAGACAGAGACTCATACACACACAGACATAAATACACACACACAGAGACCTACCTCAACTCACTCGACTTAACTCTTCACACTGAACACTTAACAGATAACTCACACTCTGACTTCCAACGTAATGAAAAATGCTTTCGGGCCACTCGTCGTCTAGTTTTGTAGCACTGCGTAGGCAGACCCCATTTCATTGACTCCATAGAGGACGGTAGGCACAACCCATTGTTGATGCAATCTAAAGCGTATGCTCTGTGGGATGGTTTGTTCCTGGAATCATCGCTACAAGATCAAAATACAAAGTTGTGCTGCTTGGATGCGTCGAGAATTGGTATCCGTTTGCCATGCCCTATAATTGATGTCGAGGTAGGCTATTTTGGTCACCATAGGCAAGCGAAATGGTGAATCCTGAATCAATATCTGCGGGCCTAAGGAGATCCGTATGAATCGCATTTTGATAAATTTAACCACTCCACGGCCAACAGCTCTGAAAAGCACAACACTTTTAGTAGCAATGATTTTGAAGCCAAAAGAACATATATGCAATATGTGGGAAAGGTCAATCAGGGCGGAAAAATCAATTGCTGTAGAATTGAAACACCACCTCATATGGACATCATCCGCATAGATCATGAGATGATCATTCAAACACTGATGGGAATATCGGCTGAGCAGGTTATGCAAGATCAAGTGCATACAGAGTATCCACAGGATTGGGGCATCCATCGATTCCTATTTAATTCCCCGGTTCGACTAAATTTATCCAAAATAAAAAATAGAATGGGATAACATACTTATGAGGGGCCAACCAAGTCTAAATCATATGGGAGAGATATTAAGTCAAACGCCCGATAGACAATCTCCCTGCTGACGGAATCAAAAGCCTTCTCCATATCCAAGGAGATTTGAAAAGAGGGATATACGAAAGATAGGACAACGGGAGGAAAAGAATCATATAAAATACGCAATATATTGTGGGTGGATTCCAATTCCATATCAATTGCAAAATTTGCGACAAGACCAAAATTCGATATATATATATCATATATATATAATTATATAATAATCTTCAACAACAAGAAATATCAAAAACAACATATCATGTCTCTGCATAGGTTCAATCTCTACGCCAAATTTCGAGTGTTCAACACTAAATAATCACCGAATTGTCGAGACGATCCATTCCGGGATAAAGCGGTCAGAGGGGGGGGGGGGGGGGGGGGGGGGGAGGAAAGTGGGTCTAAATTCAAAAATCAATTCTAGGAAATATTTATATTAAAAATCAATACCAAGGGGGGGGAATCAAGGTATCCCCTAAAGAATTACCTTTCATAATCCATTAGAAATCTGGATCACAATACAAATGTTAATAATATTCTTGTATTTGGGGCAATTCATTGGCAAACATCAATAATTATCCATGTATATCGATCATTTAGATCTTTTATTACCCCTACTTAGGCACAACTTACTTACTCGGCGAAACCAACGGCAAATCTAATTATTATTCGCGCCATTTTTTTTTCATTTATGCTTATCAAGGCGATGAAAATTAATCAAATAATATCATCCCCAGAAAATCGAACCGATAAATCTATCTTTCAATATTCGAAAAGCCTTGCGGACCTACCGCTGTTAAATAAAGAATGAAATCCAAGAGGTTCACAATAAATATATAAATTGCTTTAAAAATATCAAATTTTCAATAATTTTTAAAAATAATTTTCTATATCATCGAATAAAATAAATTCATAAAATATAATTTATAAATATTTATAATATCCCAATCCTTCAATATAAAATCAAAAATATATCTAAAAATTAATGTCAATTATACAATTAATTAATAGAATTATCGCAATAACATTTCAAAAAAAATTAACGATTAATAATATAAATTGCAAAAATACAAACAAAACGAATAATAATCGTCCCATTATATCAAAACATATATATTATTCAAAAAAAATTACAAAGAAAAATTAAATCCATTAATAAAAAAATCATATACATAAAAATTTCTTTTTCCATAATATTATCAAATATTTAAATTCCTATATTTTTTAATACAACAATTCCAATATATTAATATTAGCCCTTATAATCATAAACATATTAAATATATAAATATTTTAATATCCAATATTTTCAATATTTAGAATAATATTAATATTTAAATTTACATAATATATATATAATATAATATACAACATTACAATATATATATAAATTTTATCCATATAATAATAATTCTATTCTATGTTAATCAATATTGTTTAAAAAAACAAATATTATCATTATTATTTATTATTCTATATCAACAAATATATATATATATATCATATCATTTATATATTTATATATAATAAGAAAAACTATAAATATCCAAATCAAAAAATCTATATAATATGTTTGCAGAATCATTCCGGTAGCGCCACCGGAAGCGTTCGCTCAAAACAACGCACGCCGCCACGCTCACGTTGCACGAGTGCGTCCGCAAGCGCGGAAGTGGATGCACATCGACCGCATCTGCGGTTGGTTCGTGGCCATGCTCGTGGGTCCGGTGGGCTGCCTCGGACAACAAAAATGAAAGGGAAAAACGATTATAGGCCAATGGCACAAATACACAACAAATTGAACAGATATGAGCTATATACATATATATATATCGCATGTGACATCCCCCAAAAAAAACTTCTCTCCGGAAGTCTCAGCAAAGGTTCTTCTCCCTCCCCAACCGAGCTAGGGATAAAGGCCCCAGCATCACAATACAGCAAGACCTCCGGCAGCAGCTGTCCAACCTCCCCACCAAAAATGAAGGCTAAAGGCGCACCGAGGTCTTCCATCCTCGGCACCGAGGTCTTCCATCCTGTTGGATACCTCTTGTGGTTGGTCTGGCAGACCTTCAGAACGTGAACCCTGAAAAATGCTTGACATGACAATGGTGTCGGCAAGTGTAGACTCACCAACCTGACATCTGGCTGCGTGAGCAAAAAACACTAAGGAAAAAAACACACAAAGAACACTGATATGGATGTGTCCATGCAACGTCCATGCATATCTTTCATTGCGGCCATCTTTCTGTTGGCCTTCAATCAAAACGTCTGAAGCTGCTGATCCATCCCAAGCATCAGGGGATGCTGGAAGATCGATTCAGCTGTGCATCCGACCAGCCGAGGATCCTCACAAACAGCGATTCAAGGCCACGCCTCGTCTTGGACCCGGCAATTGCAGCAAAGTTGATGTGCTTCACAGCCAAAGCATTAACTCTGAGCAACTCGACCACTCCTTGTAGTTCGTGATACTGCTTTGGACACACCAAAACCCCATCGCACCCCACATTTAGGGATCGGGTGATTTACATGATTGATACCTCCGGCGCGTCTGTCCTGGAAGACTTCTCGATTTTCCAGAAGCAGCAGCTTGAAGCCCAAGGCCTAGACTTTTTGGCTCACAGACCAGCCGTTCCAAAAAGCCCAACGAAAGAAAAACGAGTTATATACTTGCCTAAACGTTGTGACTTCACGGTATGTTTTGCCTATCCTGCTGTTCATCCTGTCGGCTGTTTTGATGAAGAAATCTCCACATCTTCACTGTTTCGCCTTTGGGGTGGTGTCCCCAAAGGAGTTTTTTCTCCGAGGTTCAATCTACTGCTGTGCTTCGCCTGAAGGGGTAAATCCAACTTGGCCTGTTTGGATTCCAACCACCAACATGGCGACTGCCACAAACGGTCGGCAGCTGAGGGGCTTTCAATCGCTGGAGCAGGTCAATCAGCTCTTCTTTTCCATCCCCTTCCAGGACACATAGCTTGCTTCCAAAGTCCTCCACAAGGAAAACAATGCAAAACCATACACTTGCTTGTGTGAATGGATTTCTTCTGACCTGGATTCCTTTCACTCACTCAGCTTCCAACTTGGGGCGATTTCGCGCTCGTACTTCCAAAGAAGATCCGGTTTAAGGGCCAAATAATGCCAGATAGGTTGGTGTCCATCCAGTTACACGTGTCCAAAAACACGGCCAAATCAAGTGCTTTAACCGTAAAAAACACCCGCGCGCCTCGTAGTTTCGAGCCATAGATACTCTCATCACTTCCTTCAGGAAACCTCGGGTGTAAACCTCAGATTCTCCCCACCACCCTCCAACTTCTCAATTATTTTTTCGGGCTTGACGTGCCAGCAAACACAATCTTCAAAGGACACTTTTGCATGGTGAGCACAACATGAATATAAAAATGCTGAATATGCTAAACGCAACTGTAAGCATTCGAAGCATCACTAAATTATCAAATATGGAAGCTGCGCAACCCTTGCATGCTCCCTGCGTACCACTGGCAATGGCCGAGCGACCGGGTAGGGTGAAGGGAGTCTGTATGAACTATTTGCCAGAAATAGCACCTGCACAGGGGGCTGGCGTTCTCTTGGACTGGGAACATGTTAATATTCCTTCCCATCTTCTTCATGGGCCACGTGCTTCTTGAAAAGGTTACCACTTAGCCATCTTTTGCTTGTAATGTTTATGCCACTTGACGCCCTGATCAACCAATTATATACCTGGCCACAATATCTGGGTTTTTCTTCCTGGCCACGGATCACAACATATCACAACCACAAGAAACAACGGTGAACCTCGGGAAGCGTTTTGCAACGTTTAGACTGTTGTTGCACTGTTTTTTGCAACCTGCATGCATGGTGTTGGACCTTCCGGGCCTGCGCCCCACCCAGAATTGGCATGTGTCTCAAGATTGAGCCTCAGCACAGGTTGGGTACCGCCATGTGTCGGCCTTCACCGTCCATGTACCGTCCATGACTTGGTCAGGTGACTTATGTCACATCAGCGCAAAGGCCCTTCGATTCTTAGCCTTTGAATTGAACTTCAACCCCCTAACGCGTGAGTGCAACCATCACCCACCTGTTCCAGTGCATCCCGTTGCTATTGGCAGTATGTGAGCCGATTTGGGTTTGTTCAGGTGACGGATCAATATCAGCCACAAATCATCAGGAACCCTCCAAGGCTTTCTAGAAAGTGGAGGGCACCGCAAGGGGCAAAGGCTGCAAACCCCCTTCATTGCCATCACTCATTGCCATCGCACACCTCCTACTCTTCGGTACGCCATGGCTGTACCTCCCAAGATTTGGAAATCAACGGACAGAAACGGTCGCCAGCTGGGTGAGTTCAAAGCTGTCAGAACTTACGCCCACCAAGCGTCCGATGTTGCCAGCATACTTGGCACGGTCCACGATCACTACATCTGAGGCAGTGGACAAGGCAACTCTTCCGCTTTTGAACTCTGACCACGAAAGGGTCTCCCGTTCCTCGGCTCTCGTTCTGCATGATGAGGAACAAGGCAAAAAAAAGGGGAATATGATGCAACAAATGTGTTCAGAAAACTGACTGGATGCCTTCTTTTGCAAAGGCTCCTTCATCATGGCAACCCTACATGGCAATCTGACAAATGTTCAACTGGAATATCCACACGCAACCTTTGTGTGTGCACTTTTCCGCTAGAAAGTCAACAAACAAAGGCTTTCATGCAGTTGCAGAACAACCCATGACAACAGCAACGCCAACATTGCAACCCACACAAACATAGCATCCCCTCTGACCTCCGCACTGTGGCCAAGCTGCGTAGCTGCGGTCCACATGCTCGTGATCATCAGACTGACCAGACATCGTGGCATTCCGGGGCACACGGGTCAACGCGGCTTTTCGCGGCAGCCTGTGCTTCTTGGCATTCTATGTGAGATCTGGGTCTCTGTTTTTAGCTGGGTGGTGTCATATGGTCTCAAAGAATCCAGGGGAGTCTATTGAATTTAAGCTCTGTTTCTTGGTGTAACACAAAATCAGAGGGCAACCCACCCTCGCTTGAGTTATATGATATATCCGATAACCCCAATGCCCTGAAGTTTCACCTTCGGATCCGCCAACAACTAGGAAATCCACAATCAACCCACCCGTCGCGCAGTACAAGGTCTGAGCCAAGAGGAAACGTCATCGCCAGGGATTGAAGCAACTTCCTGACCAAAAGCATGGATGCGTACTTTACCAGCAGTAAAAGCCAGTAGTGTAGGTCAAAGCAGATCTACCGATTTCGGATTCAAAGGAAAACACTAAGCTCCACTGGGTCAGTTGTGCAAGTCTGGTGGGTATCGAAAGCGCTTGGCGCCAAGACCTCTGGGCGTCCCAGTTTTTGGCATACCAATTGCCAGGACACTTGCAAAGAGGAGGTGCACCGTAGCATCCACCAGCCCATCCTTTACATGCCCCGAGGTTCCCTTTCCCACCACCTGTGGAATGGCACATGCCTTTTTTCAGTGTCAAGGATAGGCTCAGTCCGGCAAAGTAGCTGTACGACACACCTTGGATTCAAAGCCAGCGACATCTTTGTTGGGAGGCAAGTCAAGGCTACGAGCAACAAGAAGCTATACTAGGTTGGAGGCCATCGCTATTAGGTTGGAGGCCATCGCTACTAGTAACAAGCGCATTGAAGGCTTCAATTCTATTTAGCCGACTCAGGGGATCAAGGTTAAAGGATGTGGGCCGACATGGAGCAGGCTCCATCCCCACATGTGGAGCTGACCCACTAAGCAAAAGCTGCCTCATCAACACAAAACATCCTGACCCCAACAAAGGAATACCCCTCTGCAGAGGCGTTGAAGACAATTTTCCTCTACAACCCAGTGGTTTTGGGGATCCATGTTGATCTGCAAGGGTGGAAAGGACATATCTTCCTTTTCTTGCCTGATTCCGCAAGCCAACCCCCGCTTTTTGGTGGGGAATCCGGCATTCCAAGTGAGCCCTGAGGAAGCCACCTCGAGGTGATCAAGGTCGTAGGGACAAGCAGTTTTTGTTGCACGGGTGGAGCTGTAAGGTGACGCCATTGGTACCCCAGTTCACATCATGTGTAAAAATGCAATGGAGGACTGGTGGATGCTCAAAACCCAAAGCAAATCCATTTATCCTGTTCCCACCTCCACTTTTCACACCTAGGGTATGCACCACTCAGTTCCACAAAGTGCAAATGGTGGTGGGTAGCAGGCCTTGACCACAAAATTTGTTGACACTTGACCCACTGCTACTGGAAACAATGAGGCAGGCTCCCGAACACATCGCCCGGTTTCACTCTACTCATCTCCGCAAAGGGGCGACAACGCGAGTGCTCCTCATTCATCACCTCTGCATATTGTCCATCTCTTCGCTTTCGATGCCCTCTCCGTCGCCCAGCATGTCTTGGTTGATGGCACTCGCGACTTCCTGGAAGATCAGCTCATGGTCCCAGGTGCCTCAGAGGTGAGATGAGCCAACAAAGCTGCCTGGACGGTCCATATGCCGCGATGACCCAACATGGTGATAGATTTCTAGCCGGCTGCAGTGAAATTGGACAAGCCCCGATAATGGACTCATCCACAACATCCCAAATAAGCATCCAGCAGCAATAGCAGTGAAGTGTCCATCGGGTGGTGTGCTACCACTGAGTATATAGTGGTGAACTTTGAGCTGCCAAGTAGGCCCCTTTCCAGGGAGCATGTCGAAAAACAAGCAGAACACTGGGCTATGTGGCCACATTCGCCCGCAAATCTTTTCGGTGGCACTGTGTATCGCCTTACGCCAGTAACTTTGGGCCAACGACCCTTCCGTGGGACCAGCACCTTTCTCACTGCGGCCTCTTTTGCAATCTTGAGATTAAAAGAAAAACACGCGCCTACAAAACTGCCACCATTCAACAAAGACACAGGGATGCCGAAAGAATTGCTAAAGAAAATGGATATGTATTTCGGGTTGCATGGATCGTGTTTTCCCTGCGGATGGCACAGGAACCTCAGGCTACCAACATGATCAGCAAAAAATCCAAGCTGCTGTCTTGTTCAAACACCTGGCGAAGGGGTGGAGGATGGAATGAACACTATAGATGATGCTATCAATGCCCACCAAGAGTTGTTAATGAAATAACTACTATATGTACTATGTATATCGGCATGGTTTCTGAGGGGGTTCCCAGGGTGTGCGTCATTTTGGGAGGACAAAGGCTACCAGGGAAGTCATCGACGCCGAGGTTCCTCGACCGGACTGGCTTGTCAAGGAGATACAACTCCCTAAGCAGTCGCAATGCATCACGTGACCTTTCGTCAAGAAAAAGCAGGTGAGAAAGGCCAAAGCTGCTCCAAAAGCATCTCCGAAAGCGTCACCGCGCGATTTCGCCCGCCCGTCTCTCCAACAACCATTCCCCGCTTGCGATGTTTGGAACTGGTCATCTTCATCTTGAACAGGCGACGGCGACTCAAACGGTATGTCCCCCCTCAGCCTGGCGATCAGAGCACAAGCATTGCATCAATGGCGCCAAGTCCACTCCTCAGCATCTGCAAGTGTTGCTGAGCGTCTCATGCTTTTCCCCATCCCATAGCCCAAACAAGAACATATGAATTCCAATACAAGGTTTCAGTTGTCTATTTTTGGGGGGTCGCCATACAGCTCGTGGCATCTTACGCTCGCTTAGCTTTTGAGCTCATCTCCGTGCCTTTTTGGCCTCTCAGCTCCGGAGATGACCCGGGGAGTGAAGCCCGAAAGGAAGCGGCGGTTGGGCTTGGGGGGAGCCGAGGAGCCTCAACAAATGAGACGACTCTGGAAGATCAACGTCTTGAAATTTCACCCTTCAAGGGTTCCACCATGTTCCACCCTCAGCTATGTTTGAAGGATAGGACGGTAGGACATGATGTTCATGATCCTTTGATCGGTTGGGGGCCACACACCTCAACGCGGCAAAATGTTCATCATCAACCTCTTGGTTTCCTACGGGAACACTCAACCCAGTGGAAAGCCCTGGCGTTGGTCAAAGAAGGCAAGCAACCATCTAGATTGTAGGGCGGGATACTATCATTCTTCCCTCCCAGCCGTGGCGTTCACCCATCCAAGGCTCCCTCTTCGGGACTGGCCGGCAGCGTGCCACGGCTGTTTAGGGCGCCCTCCAGCTCCCGGACCGTGCGCACGGGCGGCGCCAAGGAAGGCGCAGCCACTGGCGGGGCTGCCACCTGCCTGGCCGAGTTGGACGTTGTACCAAGATATTTTTCGGTGTGCATGTGTGGCCCCCCCCCAAAAAGGCCCGTAACCTGGGGTACCTATGCGATATGTCTATTCTACAGGGTCCTTCAAGCTCTGGTAGCTTGGGTGTTAGCCCAGTTGCCTGTGATTGAAAGAGTTGGTGGGGGAGCGCCCAAATCCATGTAAGCCTTAGACCCTCATTTCCGGGATTTGCATATCTAATATCTGATTGGAACACCTATTGGGAAGTACTGGGATTTGTGAAATCTACCTCGTGGAAGTCTGGCGTTGGGGCTTTTGATAGGTGTGCCGCGGTCTTGGCAAAGGTGGTCCCACTTGGTCCCAACGCTGTTGTGAGGAACCAGCTTGGACGATTGAACCTCCGGCCAGGTCAACTTGTCTCCATGGTACGTGAATTGACTATGATGTTCATCTCTTGGGAAGGTGAACAATTCATCTGAAAAGGGTGAACCTGCACTCAAAGCTGTTCGTCTTCAATAGGCGTGTTTCCAATTCGGAAACTTTGCAGCCTGGTGATGTCTTCCTCTGCTTCTTCCTCCAGATCCTTGAGTGCAAACACTTGAATGCAATGTCGAGGGAAACGCATTTAGACGCAAAGTAAGATAAAATACATAAGTCTGGTTCTGGATGTTGCTTTCTCAGAAAAAGCATTGATGGGGAACCTGAAGAATCAGCCCCACTAAAGAAAACGTCTCTACAAACTATCAACCCGTGGTTTTGGTTTTGGATGCTGTTCGGAGGCTGGGAAGGCTGCAAACTTCACTGGATGTCTGACCTTTGCTCCTAGCCAGTCCCCAAATCCAACATGGAAACCAAAAAACACCGGATTTTGGTCTATATTCCTTCCCCAAAGGGGATCTATGGAGGGTCCCCCCCTATTCCAACACACACCCATATTCAAAAGATTGGGGGCGCCGAAGCCGTTTTAAGGGTCTTTCCATCTCAGCCCTTTGGGGCCGAAGGGGTGGGCCCTCCGGAGCCGGAGCCCTGGGGATATTCAATGACCCCCAACAACGTCCAGCATGGTCCACCACAAGCCGTCCCCTTTCAGCCGAAGCTCTGGGATCGTTGGAACTGCATCATCATCCTCCTCGAAATGACCTGGGCCGTCATTTTGGTGGGACAAGAAACAACATATCGTTCTCTATCAATGCTAGATAATTTCAAGGGGCTTCTGCCATGTTCTTCCACTCAGTTCTACCCACCGGAAGTGCAAAAGGAGTGCCGGCCCTCTCTCTCTCTCCCTCTCTCTCCCCGACTTGGTTCAAGCCATTGAGGGTGGCGCTCGATCACCATTCCCACCGCTCCAGCATCACATCACAACCCCATGGAAAACGGCCCCTCCATGCCGCCATGCATAGATTTTGCAGCAAGGCCAGGTCCACAACCGCGTTAGACAGGGCGTCCGGACTGACGTCCGATATTGTAGGGGCGTCCAAGTTAAGTGGGTCGTCCTTGAAATCTGCTGCAGCTTGAGGCAGCCGCCCCGCAACGAAAACAACCATTAAAACTTCTCCCCAAAGGTATACAATCTCATCCGGAGAAAAAACACAAAACAACATCAACCTCTCAATGCCACTCAGTGCTCCTTTCTTCTCCTTCTCCTTCTCCCCCTTCCACTCTCTTCTGCCAAAGTCACCCTTGCGCGCCGGCGGCGAGGGCGGCTCGGCGCTCATCCGTGGTCCTGTGCTGCTGGTGCCGCCATCGTCAAAGCCCCACCCGCCGGTGACAGGGCCCCGGGGGCGACCACCAGCCGAAGGCCCACGGCCACCGTCTTCATGGGTCACTTCCTAGGACGGTCGGTTGGGGTGAAAAATGGAAGAAGAGTTCATGGAGGGTTCGGTTGAGTGCTTCACGTTTGAAGAGGTTCTTTTGATTCTTTTTGTAGTTCTTTGGTCTATTTTCAGTTCTGTTTGTCTTGGTCGGAGCACCAAACGGTTGTCTTTACTCGGTTGCAATGACTTACCATGTGCCGCCAGCAGCACAGGCACGAGATGGTGCTCAACACGAATGTGGGTCTGGCTCCAAAAAGGCTGGCACGTGTCGAATTCAACACGGTTCTGCCTGTCGAATGTGATGGGCTCTAAGGAAGGTACTCGTGTAGACTTCACCAAGCTACGTAAAACGTCCATCTTTTGCCCCTTCAGCACCAAACAGGGTGTTTCACTGTTTCATCTTGCTTTTCGCGGTCGGGATAAGCCATGGCAAATACTACCGACCTGATGTTTATAAAAAGGAAGAAAGCAGCTTGAAATGCAGGTGAAACTACTGATACTGTCTTCAAACAATCCAACTGACAAGTCTCGGGTTCATCATCCATGGCTCAAGCAGCTAATCCTTGCTAGCAATCTTGAGCCAAGCTGTGAGGGCATCAACTCGAAAACAAGACCCCCGGGCAGCATCTGCCTGGTCTATATATGCAGCTCCAAGAGTACTCCCTCATAAAGGATTCTGATGATTCATCAGGCTACGGGCGGCTCGTGATGCTCTTTGGCGAAATCATGGGTTGGAGAATGAGAAAGCGGGAAAGTAAGTCTGCAAGTGGCTGGCCACTGCTATGCATTGTTCGTACCACGAACCAAAACACACAACTTTGCGAAACGCTGACTCCGTGGCCGATTCAGAAAACGGATGAGTGGCACACACCTGGGTTCTGCACTCACATGATGCTGCCAGCAAGCTGGACACCCGGGTGTGTGGTGCCTGACGCCAGTAAAGGCTATGACGCCATGATCTCTGACCACCACTCTTTCATCAAAAATAGAAGAGTCAGGAAGGCCGGTTAGCTTTATGAAACGATCAAAGACCAACCACTCGAGCACGCTTTTGGGGCTGGAACACCCTCCAAAAGCATTTCTGGGGCCATGGAAAAATATGCAGTGGCCTGCACGACCAGGACGCTTTCTTGATCTTTCGAAGTGTCATGAATGAGATGAACATTGAACATCATATTGTCACTATCGTTGAAAAGCTGGGGTGAACATAGAAAGCTGTGCCATCATCGAAGTGTGCCGGAATGAATCACACACCGCGTACACCTTTATAGAATCATAGAACATGCCATGAATACTACCATGATCTACCATGAATCTATTCCAAAAAGTATGCTGATGTCAGGTATGTGATCTCCATGCACTCCTCTGGCCATGGGAGCTTCCTCTTGCCACAACCTTACACCCTGACTTCCTCCAAGTGCCCCTCACCTCCGGAGCGTCATCCGCCGTTTTCTTCTCCGGTTGTGCCGTCCACCCCGCTTGGCGGGGCAGAACCGGGACTGAGACCACCCGCAGGGCAATTTGGCAGGACATGGTACCTGGTGAAGTGTCAAGGGTCCCTTGCTGACTTTCCATCTTGTGACACATACTAAGTGTCGGAGCATGTCGGAGCTGTGTGTTCATTGGCGTCTGCTAAATGCCATGTGCAGGGGGTCTCACTGGTGTCCGACGTGTGGCCGAAACTTCTGGCTACTAAAGCTTAAAGGTTCAAGATCTCCCATCGGTTCTGAACGCTCTTCAATCCTCGCAGCGGCCAGCGGACCATGGGAAGAGGAAGAGGCGACCAGCGGACGACTGCTTCGGTGGCATCCCTTTCAACCAGGGAAGGCCATTTTTGGAGCCCCTCAGCCTCTCAGCATGAGAAAAACCAAATCCCCCAAAAAGGCTGGATCTTTCGGTTCCCGATCTTCTTGGTATTAATAATTGTGATAAGCTGCATGGTCCACCTGGGCCCCTTGTCGGACTCGGCGCAAATTGCATCATAAGTGTCACTCGAATGTGCTTTAAAGTGGAAATTCAAGCTCATGATCCACTCATCCACGCACTGCAGGGTGGTACTTCAGTTCACTGTGGCCACTCATTGGCTCATAGACATAAATGTTTATAGGGGAATAGGCCACCGACACTCACTTCACCTCACTTCCCATGTTCACTCCAGGTGACCGCCACTGAGCAACTCCTTCCTCCTGGCCGCCCACGCGAAGCTGCTCCGCACCGCAGCCACCGCCGGGCCGGCGTCTCCGTCGCGGTTCTCGAGCGTTTCCTCGGCGACCTCATCGAGGCCCGCCAGCGCCAGACTGTTCTCACGGGACAAGTTCGCCTGGGTGAAGGACGTGCGGCACGGCGGGTTGTGCTGATCCACAGGGATCAGGCTGAGTGCTTTGAAGCGATGATTCTCTGTGCCAGGCTGGCGGGATCAAAGAGTAAAGAGTCTGCAAGTAGGCTGGGAGTGGCAACAGTGGCGTGTCAAATCCAGCCCCCGAATATGAGAGAGAATCACCGAAAAGTGAGTGAATTCCATTATGTTTTGGAACGTATAAGAAGACCCAGATTCAAGATCTACTTTGGGGCCACGTCCCATGCCCACTGGAATGAACTATCGTTGTTGCCCCCTGGCCTCAACTGCCTGGGCCTGAAGAGATTGAACTTCAAGCCTGTGCGCTTCCAACCGCTCCACCATCCCATCACCTCACCATACCACACCTACTCCATCATCCCACCCATACCCCCCACAGTCCTCTCATTCGGCCAACAGTTACACATCGCTCCATCTACCTCCCCATCCACCCCGCTCACACCATCCCAAGCGGCCGCCCCAAGCCGCTGGTCCAACGGCCCAGCAGGCTCCAGGACCTTCTCGACGGGGCGAACCTTCGCCAGCTCGGCCTCATCCACCTCCGTGTCCAAGTGGATTCGGAGGCCTCGCGACGTGCGAGTCGGATCAGTTCTAGCCCGCGCGGTTTTGCGGGAGGTGAGACATCGTGAGAGTGAGTGAGTGGAATTTAGTTGGGTGCTGGGGCAGGTGGGATGATGGTCGGAGGTTGCAGGTATGTGATAGTGATGGGGTCTGGGGGATGGTGGTGATATGTTGTGATGCTGGTGGCAGGCCTTTGGGGCATGCAATGGGCATCGCTACTCGTCTCAAAAAGTGCAATGTGTCCAGCGAAAATATCCAAGTGCATGATGCCCAATTGGCATTGGAAAAAAGTTGTCAATTGCAACAAAAACAACCCTTTCAATGCGACATATGGCCAGTGAATCTCACCCGGTCTAATTCCTTTCTGCCGTCTTTGCAATCGCTGCTTACCTGTACGCACATCTTTCGTTCTTCGACGAGAGGGTGTCAATAAACCCTTGGAAAGACCAACGCCTGCAGCTTCTGGATCATCATACTTTGCGAGCCACACCGACATATGCCTTTCAAGATTGGACCCTGAAAGGCGCCTAAATCTCCAAGTTCATCTCTGTTTGCTGCGCCGCTCTTGCCAACTCTCAGCATCCGCTGGTAGCCACGGAGATTCTCCTGCGCTCGTGTGCACTAAAATCACATCAAAGCTAATAAGTCATAATAAGTTTATTGTAGCAACTCTTCCCATCCGAAAACCAAGATTTATTTATATGACTCTATGACCCTATCGGACCCCTGACCCCTTCTCGACAACACGAGTCTACATGCGCAAAACAACCTCCTGCTGGTCCCGGGTGTCCGAACATGGCGAAAACAACCACCCGACAGCACAGCGGCTCGTCTCGCTTCGGCAAAGAACACGGCGGTCGGTTTCCTCGAAGGGCGTGTGCTCTCCCACCGACACGGCCCAGTTCCGGTGGAAGCCGATCACAAAGATCAGGTCCCCCACCTCATGCAGCCAACAGCACGACGCACAGGCATGGTGCTCCGTGTCTTTTGCCCTTTGAGGCTTAGTTTCTGTGAGCATTTGTGCCTCAAAGTGTATGAATTGAAAGGTAGAACCCTGCTGGGCACCCATAAGGGCTGACTCGGGCTGACATGCCCATTTTTGACAGCACCTCTATACAATAATTAGATGTGAACTTGCCAACAAAAACTCGACTTTTCATCGGAAACGTCAATTAAACCATTAATACAATAAATTAAGGTATACAAGCACCAGCCACTGAAAACCAGGCTCACTCATACTACTCATACTATTGACCATCTGCTGAATCCCCAACCCGGCGGCTCTGCACCTCGAAGTCTCCAGGTCGCGACTCGCTGGCCGGTGCCCGGCGCCCGGCCGCGCACGCGAGATCCTCAAGGTCGACGGCGCCATAGGAGCCTGAGGAAGGCAGGAAGCGCAGGCGTTTTGGAAGAGGAAGGCATGGCCCATGGCTGGTAGGGAGGCAGTTGGAAGAACAAACACCTGGTTTTTTGGGGGATGGCTGTTGCATCGAAACTGTGTGAACATGGCATCATGAAAGTCAGAGACCCTATGTGCCCCAACAGGGTGGGTGGTAGGCATATTGTTTTTCTCGAACCTTCACATGTATCTGCAACATTGTTGAAAGCCAGTTACCCAATTGCATTTCTAGGAGGCAAACGCAAATGCTAGAAGCATATCCCACTCAAAACTGTGGGCTCAAATTCCAACATAGCAGCTGAAATACCTATGTATAACATTTGACATGCATGCATGCTTATATTTGTTGAGGTACTCTAAGACGTGATATCGAAACATTCACACTGTTTCACACCTTTGCTCCACACTGTGGCCGGCTCGCCCAAGACACCCAAACTCAATTGCACCTGCCCAGTCCAGTGAAGGCGTCCGTGGCGCCAAAGCTCACAGGTGCACGGGTAGCTCGTGAACTCGAAGCTGGGATAGTCCGCCGCATCGAAATAGAAATACCTGGCGATGAGCGCATCTCGAAGTCGGCCCACTGTTCATCCGCAGCCGAACGCAGCCATTGGTGGCCGCGACGCCCCAAAAAAAGGCGTCCGGTGAAGATGTTGGAACATTCATGAAGACTCGTCATGTGCGTGTTCATCCACAGTCCCACTGTTATCACGGACAATACTGAAAAGCGGTCATCCCACTGGTCAACAATCCCATCTTTGGCGATTTCGTGCAGCGGGTGTACTTGCAATCGACCAGTTTTTGTGGGCAATTAACGCTTTTGGATGCGTCTCAAGATAGGGCAGCAACAACATCACTGCACAAGGATAGTACCAACCAGTTAAAGCCTTAAGGGACCAGGGCATCTCTCCATTTTCATAGTCAGAGCCATCATAGGCATTCATCTGTAGACGGCCGTACCCTGAGAATGTCCCAAATCTTTGGCTTGCCAGGACATGCCAGGACAATAAGCATGCAAAAAAAAGCATTCAATGGGTGTCCAATGGAGATCCCAAAGTACTGGAGGGTATGGTTCTGGACTTCTCCAGGTTCCCTGATCTACTTCGACCTTCCAAAACCGACCTTCCTCTCTCCGACCTCTCTCCCCATCTCCCACCTCCCCACAGAGATGGCCGTGGCATCGCTCACGGACTCGTGGTGCTGCACGGACAACGCGATGAAGCCTGGGTGAGGAAGAACGAAACAAACACCCGAGATTGGCAGACTTGCAGACTCTGGGGGTGTATTTTGCCTGGGGTCAACTGTAGGTCTTTGATGGTCGTTGTAGGTCAATAATGACCGCGGTAAATGCGGTATTCATCGGTATTCCAGTCCCGTGGAGTGTGGCAGTGGCAAGGTTAGAGGTCTCACCATTGATGTTTGCATCGCTGATGTTCCCAAAACTTGCACCACAAAAACCCACCGAATAACGAAGGCATGGAAACCAAAGAACTTCGAGCAAAATATCTACAGTTCTTTTGAGAACTCAGTACCCCAAAACTTGCAAACAAACCCACCCCATGTGCCCCTCGGCTCACTGGAGGGGCGCCTTCTGGCATCCGCTTGGCCGAATCCGGAGGCAGCGCAAACAGAGGACCCGGAGGCGAGGCCAGCGGGGCGGTGAGCTTCAGGTCGCTGCCCAAATAGGAGGAGAAGGGCGCCCACTGTGAAACCATACCTGAGGGATGGGATGGTTTCACTCACTTTCCCTAAAAGACTTCCATGAGTTTCGTGTGTGGTGAGTTTTGGATAGTTTTGGTGTGTTTTCCAGTTGTTTTTGTGCTTAAGGGTGTGAATATGTGGGAAGATATTTTACTTTCCAGGATGAGGCGTGGAAGGTTTCGCAAGTTCCTTCCAGCTGAAGGATTCCAGGCTCATGTTGGAGGTACCCAGCTACCTCGCGGTTGAAACCGAACACTCCACCGGCAAAAAAACCGAGGTCTCCCCGTCACGGACCCGGCTCCGTCCGACGTCCCGGAGACCGCGCGAGCTCGGTCGATGGCGCACCATGGCTGCTGAGCTCCAGCAAGTATGGCTCTGGCACCTGCTCCTGAGCGCCACGCGAAGGTTCAATAGTACGACACTAGTACGACACATTGATAGAACTGTAATGAACTGTACAATTATGACTATCTGTCAGTTACGTTTGTTTTCGGCTTCCTGCGTGGGTCATACTTCAATTTCAGATACTTAGAGAGGTCAACAAGCCTCCACCGAACGCTCTGTGAAGTGTCCGTCCAACCTCCCGATGCGGATGCCTCATCTTCGTGCGCAACCTCGTGCTCCACCTGTGCGTGGGCGGCGTGCACAGAAAAAAAGGCGGCCTGAAGTTGAAGGGTAACATGATGTAACACTCAACAAGCATTCCCCCAAAAAGGCATCGCGATCATTGTTGTGCTTTTTTTGGCTTGGACTGTTGATCTTTAAATGCCAAGCATTTCAACAACTCCCCGAAAATCGCATAAAAATTGGATCATGGATCTACAAAGGCTGGAAGATTGGAAGGTTTGATCCATGCACACCAGTCCCCTTCCAGCGATGCGGGTCTGATGTCTCAGCACGTCCTGAAGTCTCGTCGTACCCCCCCCAGAGCTCAGCAAAGCTGCCAACCAATCCCACACTCCACGGGCCCTAGAATATTTACATTGACTCCGCCTTTCCAACAACTCCAATGTATATATATATATATGTCATTATAGGTCTACATATTAGATGGAGTGTCTGGGAATGTTCCGCACTGCGGCTAGAAAACTGGTGGCTTATACAATTCCAAGTGGATTCTGTACAGCTTGGAGCAGTAGTACAGCATTTGCAATGCTCAAGAATGTCCCTGCATACATCTCAAACACCTGTTTTTGGATGGTTGATGATGGTTGGTAGTTTAACCACAGTGCCACTCAAATTCTCAAGGAACTGTCATTCAATGGAGACATGACTGCAAATCCTCGTGCCAACCGGCCATGAGCACAAGTGATCCACTTCACATGTGGGATGAGCATAGGGCCTGACCTGTTTCAGCAAAGTGGCCAGTTCTCCTGGCAACGCAGTGGCACGTTCCTCCAGTGGCTGCTCCTCCTCATTCTGCAGGTCCCGGCGGATCAGGTGAGGCTTTGCGGCGGTGGGAACCTGGAGTGATCGTCAATGGATCCATGGCACCCGGTCAATACAGGTTTTCGTTTACAGCATCTTGGCAAGATCTTAGGGGCAATCCCCACCTACCCCACAACTCTCTCCATTGGGGGAAGAGCTGTGGACCAAGTCGTGACATACCCAAACGAATACAGGCCTTGTATACAGGCCTTGAGGGTCACAGATTCTGGGCATCCGCGCCCTCCCCCACAATCTAACATCTACCCCCACAAGATCCACATGGGAAGACCGTCTCACTCTGGTCCCTCGGCCGTCTCCCTCGGGGGCGGAGGCCCCTCGGCCGTCACACCACACCTCGTCCAACTCCTCTTCTTGCAAAGGATCATGCTCAAACAGGCTGGCGAAGGCTTCGGGTGGCTCCTGAGGCAGCAGAATCCAGGCTTCGCCGTGTGAGGTCTATGTTCAGTCGGCCGTGCCGTGGACCATCCACGGAAGCTGACTTTGCTTATATACCTTTATCCTTTAACCGCCTGACACTTTGGAAGGTTTAGGGTAGGAACAGCTCCAAATGAGGCGCGGTGAGTCGTTCAATGGCAGTTGCGACGCACAACCCATGACAAACACCAGAACATGTCAGAACATGTCAAGATACAACATACAAGGTCGAAAAGCGTCTTTGTATGTGAGGGCCCTAGGGATTCAGAACCAGGATGGTCAAGCATCTCTAGTTGGGCGGATTTGATTTCATCACGAGTCTGCCTTCCCTGTCCTCCGGCGGCCGTGAGGCATGTGGCGGCGTGTGCCGTGGCGGCGGAACCTGGTGACGAGGCGATGCGTCCGTCTTCGCCAGGACGGCAAAATAACACATTTTCCCAATTCTGGGGGTTCACTCTTGGGAAAAAGGATTGGGAAAGTAAACATCACTCTAAGCAGAAACCAGGCAAATGTGTTCTTGATTGTCGTGCCTGGGGGTATGTAGATTTGACAAGTGATGGTCCCCGAATCCATCCCCCCAAACATGGTAGTGCATTGCTGAGTGCATCATAGTGCACATGTTCGTCCAACTAAATAGAGCCTATAGAGATGCAACGGTAATGCAAAGGTAGAAGATTTTGTTGGTCGTCGAAGGATCACTTTCCCAAATATAGCACCCTTGCACAAAGGATGCGGCAATGGGAAACGAGTGCTTAGTATATAGTACAACAAATGATTGGTGATTATTGGTGTGCATTGCCTTGTTGGTTGCTGCTTTCCAAATGTAGGGAGGTCAAGACATGTTGTCTCTAAGGGTGGGTAAACATTAAGTTACATTGCAAATCATTGTAACATAGTGGGTAATGATCGTCCCAAGCAGTCAAAAAGTCGAAGGTTGCACTGTACAACAAAGAGCTGTAGCTCGCTAAGATGTAAAACATGCACTTTCCATCGACCGGGGTGGTTCCCACAACTTTGAATCAGCTAAGCCCGAGTAGGAAAAAGCTTTCTGATGTTTAGCTATGTTCAGTGAAAGCTACATGAAATCGATTAGAAAACAGTTGACAACTGTTCAGATCCCCGAATTCCTCCTAATTGACCAACCTTCCGTACTCTTCTGTCAATTCGATCGGTGAGTGGCTTGGCAAGTGGCCCGTCCATTCCTCTCACCACTCCTCCCACTCGTCTTCCCGCCTCTTCTGCAGGGGTCGAGCCAAACGCGAGCAAACTGCTGACGTCCAAACCAAGGCTTCCAAAGGCAGAGCCAGGCGGCTGTGGTTCAGGGGAAGCCGAAGGTCCAGCTGCTTTTTTCCTGGGGTCCTGAGGCAACCGACTTGAAAGTGTGTTACCTGAGCCATGTCAAATGTGCAAGGTTGGTTTAGTGAACCTTGGGCAGCTCATCTCTTTCCGGATGAGTCCCTTCACTTGCCTCAATCTCAATGCTATAGTGAATTGAGTCGGCAGAGCAAGTTCATCAAGCACCATGTATGCAAGTAAACACGGCACATGTTTTCTGAAACACACTGTCACCTTGCTCAGTCCTCTTGCACAGATGGAGCACTGAACGCCAGTAAACTGCTGACATGGTCGAGGCCAAGACTTCCAAAGGCAGAGCCAGGCATGGCCTGCGGTTCTGGAGAAGCAGCGCCAACTGGATGACTTTTCGCTGGGTCCTCGAGCAGAACAAAGGCCGACGGCCGAGTCCTATGCTTACCTTGCTGCATTTTGCTACTTATGTCGCTGTACAATGCTCAACTGTCAACGCCCCCTCCTGTCACAACGGGTGGTATGCACAGTCATGCCAGGCCAGCTTAAACAAAAGCATGCGATCTGCAAAACGATACAGGTAAACGAAAGTCGGAAGCCCTGTCCACTCATGTCCACTCCTCTTCCGCAGCAGGTGGGGAACTGAGTGGAAGCAAACTGCTGACCCGGTCCAAACCAAGGCTTCCGAAGGCAGAGCCAGGCGCCTGCTTTGGCTCAGGAGAAACACCCGAAGACCCAGCTGGAGGCCTTGTCGTTGGGTCCTCAAACCAAGCTGTTTCAAAGTGACATGCTGTGCCCGCCATCCAAGGTGCACTTTCTGAAATGCAAACATTATCATTACCTTTTCTTCTTCAAGCGGCTTACTGTCACTTGCCAGAATGGCCTCTCGATATTGCTATTAATGGTACTCGGTTCAAAGGCAACTTTGAGCCTTTGACCAAGCAAATATGCACACAACGCGCCATTCAACCTACAGTAGCTACTTACCTAGATTGAAACACAACTGTCCGACAAAGAAGAGATCCAGCACTTATTCAAAACACATTCGACATCAACTGCCCTTGCTCAGTCCTCTTGCGCAGATGGGGCACTGAACGCCAGTAAACTGCTGACATGGTCGAGGCCAAGACTTCCAAAGGCAGAGCCAGGCATGGTCTGCGGTTCTGGAGAAGCAGCGCCAACTGAATGCCTTTTCGCTGGGTCCTCGAGCAGAACAAAGGCCGACGGCCGAGTCCTATGCTTACCTTGCTGCATTTTGCTACTTATGTCGCTGTAAAATACTCAACTGTCAACGCCCCCTCCTGTCACAACGGCTGGTATGCACAGTCATGCCAGGCCAGCTAAAACAAAAGCATGCGATCTGCAAAACGATACGGGTAAACGAAAGTCGGCAGCCCTGTCCACTCATGTCCACTCCTCTTCCGCAGCAGGTGGGGAGCTGAATGGAAGCAAACTGCTGACCCGGTCCAAACCAAGGCTTCCGAAGGCAGAGCCAGGCGCCTGCTTTGGCTCAGGAGAAACACCCGAAGACTCAGCTGGAGGCCTTGTCGTTGGGTCCTCAAACCAAGCTGTTTCAAAGTGACATGCTGTGCCCGCCATCCAAGGTGCACTTTCTGAAATGCAAACATAATCATTACCTTTTCTTCTTCAAGCGGCTTACTGTCACTTGCCATAATGGCCTCTTGATACTGCTATTAATGGTACTCGGTTCAAAGGCAACTTTGAGCCTTTGACCAAGTAAATATGCACACAACGCGCCATTCAACCTACAGTAGCTACTTACCTAGATTGAAACACAACTGTCCGACAAAGAAGAGATCCAGCACTTATTAAAAACACATTGAACATCAACTGCCCTTGCCCAGTCCTCTTGCGCAGATGGGGCACTGAACGCCAGTAAACTGCTGACATGGTCGAGGCCAAGACTTCCAAAGGCAGAGCCAGGCATGGTCTGCGGTTCTGGAGAAGCAGCGCCAACTGGATGCCTTTTCGCTGGGTCCTCGAGCAGAACAAAGGCCGACGGCCGAGTCCTATGCTTACCTTGCTGCATTTTGCTACTTATGTCGCTGTAAAATACTCAACTGTCAACGCCCCCTCCTGTCACAACGGCTGGTATGCACAGTCATGCCAGGCCAGCTAAAACAAAAGCATGCGATCTGCAAAACGATACAGGTAAACGAAAGTCGGAAGCCCTGTCCACTCATGTCCACTCCTCTTCCGCAGCAGGTGGGGAGCTGAACGGAAGCAAACTGCTGACCCGGTCCAAACCAAGGCTTCCGAAGGCAGAGCCAGGCGCCTGCTTTGGCTCAGGAGAAACATCCGAAGACCCAGCTGGAGGCCTTGTCGTTGGGTCCTCAAACAAGCAGTTTCAAAGTGACATGCTTTGCCCGCCATCCAAGGTGAACTTTCTGAAGTGCAGACATCATCATTACCTTTTCTTCTTCAAGCGGCTTACTGTCACTTGTCAAGACCACCTGGCTCTGTCTGTGTGACAACGTAGACTGTCAACAACTCTTGGGTTCTCTTCACTAGCTGCCTGTTGCAGGCGCAAGCTTCACCCTCCCTGGCCCCTCCTCGTCTAGGGTCGAGCCAAACGCCAGCAAAGTGCCCACACGGTCCAAACCAAGGCTTCCAAAGGCAGAGCTCGGCAAAGGCTGCGGTTCAGGAGAAGCCTCAGCGTTCAGCTGGCCCAGTTCATGGAAGAACACAATGTGAAGACGACATGTGTACAACTTGGAGCGCCCAATGTCGCTGATATGGAGCAAACAACAAACACATTTGGTTCCATAACCTTAAGGTCCGGAATGCCAATCACTGCCGGATGGTCGACTTGTTTTCCTCGTTTTGGCATTTAGACGTGACTAGTCGCCTTGTCTGCAAGGAAGGCGTCCGGTGACTTCTCAGGTTCCTGAACTCAAAGAACAGTCAAGAAGAGTCAAAACCAGTCAGCATCCGCAACACCCACTCCTGGTCCCGGCTGAAAAACGGTTGACATGCAGCCATTTCCGGGGGTCCCATTTGTCCCTCCCCTCGTGCTTCAACTCCAATCGCGGCTTCAGGTCAAGATCCCTGCCTTGGAAAAGGCTAAAAGACTGCTGAAACTCTCGAGGCCGAGGCTTGCACTCGTGGGAGGCGCCTCCAGCAGCTGTCTGAGTTCATGCAGGGTCTTTATGCCCCTTGGGCATCTGCCCGGTCTACCCATTGAAAGATTGGAACCAACACCCCCGAGAAAAACAACTCACAGGAGACATGTCCGGCTAAAAACAGGTCAAGGCTGGTGCCCAAGCCGTATGGTGGCAAAAGAGTCTGAGACATTTGGCGAGCCTGAGGTTTGTCCGTTGATAAGAAGGTATTCAACACAAACACTTCTGAGACTTCTTGAGCTTGGTGCTTCTGACATTCTTGCTGTTGCTGCACCATCTTGAAATGTGATCCTTCCATCTGTGCTTGCCCTTCTCGCCGCATTCAGTTTGTTGCACATGGTGATGGTGAGAATTGGTGGAGTTGTGTGCTTGCATACATTCCTTCAGATGTATATCTATATATATACACATTCATGCGGATTCATGCTAGCTAAATATGGCAGTGTCTCACAACATGACTCGAGTCACAGCCCCTGTTGCCTTTTCGGATCTGGCCGTGTCTGTCTTCAGGGGCCCGGGGTCCTGTCGAGCCAACGAAGGGCAACACAGCTTTCCGCCGGTTCTTTTGCTTCTGAGAACTTAAGTGCTTCGGCGGAAGCACCGTTTGGCACCCGTCCTCTGCCCTTCTAAAGCCCAATAGGCTGCTGACGCTCTCCAGGCCGCTTCCAAAGGCGACGGCTGCCGCTGGTGGCGCTGGGGGCGCCGGAAGTGGAGGCGATGCCTCTGCCTGGGACCAGCAACGTGTAGAGTGTGAAGCAGGTTGCATGTTGTCTCAACCCTACGGGACAGTCATGTATTTTCTTGGACTGACCGCATGCCCCCGCATGGAAGTTGGAATTGTGGATGTGCATCTACTTTAGATCATTTCGCCTTGAATTTCACCCTACCAGATTGAGACAACACGACAATTGAGGTCAACATCGAATGAGCTTGCCTCGAAACCCACACCCGTAGTTCATGACCCAACCACCATAATTACTGAAGTTGTTCAATTGGCAATGATTCAATGATCATACGCTTGGCAAATCCGTGTTTCCTGTCCATCTGGTCGTTCTTTCCAAGCAGGACCTTTGCATCAGTTTTCCATACCAACCCTGAGGCTGTGGATTTCGACTTGCCCCTTCCGACTAAGACCTCGATGGCCGGTCCACTGAGCATCTGTCTCAGTGGACCGGCCAGGATGTTATTTTGGCATCTGTCTTTATAGACGATTCTGAGAAAATGAGATGGTGCCAGTTCTACTTATCAGTTCAATGGAAGTTGTTCAAGCTTTCTTAATCCAAAAAACTGGTGCGGACCTGTTGCCCGAGCTGTGCACAGGTCATGGCAATGTTTGAAGGAAACAATGCCCCTTTGACAAAGGACCAAATTGAGTCACTACTCTGTCAGCAGCATTGATCGTGTGAGGGAGGGATCTGTGTGAACCCTTATGCGCTTACGATGATGAGCGGCACGGCAAAAATTCTGGGACCAGTGATCCAAATGAACCGAAAGCTTTCAAGCTGAATGCCACACCTAACTGGGTAGAGGTAAAGAGGACAGCGTCCGAAAAGCAGGTCTCGCAGGGTGCGAACCGGGGTTGCTTTGGACCGACCCCCGCAGCCCCAGTCGGACGAACCCAAAGCGGAGAACGGTGAGCACAAACAGCGCTGCAAAATATGTGGCAAACATGGCAGACCCAAAACACATAGGCCAACTGGGCACCAAACAACCAAAACAGCCGTTGTTAAGTCCCGTCGTCTATACCTCTATACCCTTGTAGTAGTAGCCTCTAGTAGAGCTGCTGCCCCAATCCATGTCTCAAGCTCATTGCTTAACATCAGGTCCAAGGACTCACCAATCTGCCAATCTGCCCATCCTTCACTCTGCACACGCTTCTCCAAACCGAAAAAAACCGCCTCCCCATCCACCGCAGCTCCAGATCGAACGGTGTCAGTGGGAGGCAGGTGTGGGTCCTGGACGGCAGGTTGTGTGCATCGATTTATTTTTGGGCAAAGGATGAAAGAAAACACAAAAAAGAAAAAGCAAAAAAGCACTAAGTTTTCTGAATAGTGCAAGCATGTCGACACACACACACACAAACGTACATCACCAATCATCACACATCTTTATCTGCAATTAAGTGTGACAGAAATCACTGCGTCCAGCACCCCTATCTCCTCATCTTCTGCCGCCGATGCCGGTCTCAGAAAACCAAGGCCAAGGCGTTCCAGTGCCGGAACTCCAGACGTGGAGGGCCTCTTGGAGGTCTCCTGGGCGGAACTGACTTCGGACGGGCGTCCAATTCTCTCGGGAAGTGGGAGTGAATGTGTTGGAGCCCCAAAAATCAAAGCAAAAAACATCACGGGACTCTCCAGTTTTACTGTCAAAATGCTCGCAGAAACGTTCAGACATGCAGTGGCAGAGTGAGACCAATAGTAGTTAGAATAAAAACAAATACATATATATATATATATTGACCAGTTCCTCGGTGGAATCCTCGACTGAATCAAACTCTCTCAGGGTTGGACCCCCATGGTTGTGACCCATGGCCACGTCTTCTCACCAGACAGCCACATACACCTGCGATTCCTTGAGGTGTCTCACCACTCAATCAGGCTTGTCCACCTTCCGTTTGTGGTCTTACCACAGCTTCAAGTTTAGATCACTTTAGAACAGCTTCCACGGCCTCACATCTACCATCTACCTCAACTCCGGACCCATGCTCCTCTTCTGGACCAGAACGGCCAGTGAGCCGCGCGCTCACTTGCTGCAGCCACGCCATGGGCTGCACTGTGCGGAGCCAAGGGCTGCGAAGAATCAGGGGATGAGTTCGGATGAGTTTGGAGAAACAATCTTCACGCCCTGAACCTTGTCGACAGAGTGAAAAATAGGTCTAACGAATCATACCAACAGCCAGTGGTAGGCAAATGCCACCTGAGAGGAAGCTATGAGTGGTGTTCCATCTAACGCAAGAGGACGACCAGCGGATCCTCAAGGCCCCCACCAAAAAACAACAAAAAAACATATGCAGGCTGACCAAGGACGAAGCCGATCGCCCAACTCTGAAGCCCCGAAACAGGTCGCCCGTCGCCCACCCGAAGGTCGAACCGGCCGTCTCAGCAGATTTGTCTCGTCTCGGGCGGTGAAAAGTCAGCTTCGCCGGCCAGCCCTGCTTGGCGGGGGAATGGCTGGGAAGTTGTCCACGACTGGCTCCTGGAACCAGCTGGAGGCCCATCCGGTAGCATCTGCTACTTAGTTGAGGTGTTTGGTGGTGAAAGAGTCTCGCATCGGCTGGAGGATCCCAAACCGTGGGAGCGGTTCGCTCGTCTGTGAGTTTGACATCTCGTCCTGGACGGCAGTTCTTGACATCCCGTTCTGCCCCTAAGGGTTTGGTCAACAAGACGCTTGGACGAACAGTGGACGAACCGTGAACCACGGAGTCGTTAGCGGTTCACGCTGGGCACGAAGATTGCGACTGGGGGAAGTGGAGGTTCAATGTCATAATTTGCAACCCCCTGCACACTTCCACGTTGGGACCACTGCCAAGCATTTCTGCTGCCAACCACTGTATTCTAAGCACACGAAGTATCAGAACACTTAGAGAACTGCTCAGTGCCATGGACTCCCGGTCACCGTCGCGCCCCGCTGTCCTGTTTAATGGCCAGCTTGGGCAAAGGTGGCGCTTCGTTCCGGAGGGATCTCGCCATGGCATACCACTCCTGCCAGCCATCAACCCACCAGCTGGTGAACCGCATCAAATGGCATGGTGCCCGTTCGGATCAACACTGTCAGATTCCTTCAAGTGCGGAGAACATAACACAACTAACTAGGATACAAATCTGGGAATAGATTGTGCGGATTTTCTTGGGGGTTACCTGCGACACGGTGGTGCATGCAATCTGCATCCTTTTGAAATGAAGCCTGATTCTGGATGAGTCCATCCTAATTCTATCAAAGAGCCGAAGGAAACAACACAAAATCAATCCAAGCATGCCAAGTGGGCCTCCCAACACACTATCATCCAAATCAAGTACACCATTCAACACCCAAAATGACACCCCCAAAGGACTCCAAACAAAATCATCCCATCTCCAGTGGTTCAGTGACCTGACAAAGGACCCATCACCTGAACTACCTACGGGATAGCCTATGATACATATTATATATAGGATCTGTATATATATATATACACGTCTTTCGACCTCTCATAATCTATTCCTCCATCCCTCCCGGTGGCTCGGCTCGTGGTTAAAAACCACGCTCCTTCTCTTCGTAACTCGATGTCTCCGGTGGCCTCGGCGTCTCGCGCGTCGTCGAGACAGATCAATCAATCATCATGAAAGCATCAAACTCATTTGTGTTCCTGCATAAGGGCTAGAGTCGGCTAGAGTCTCGCGACGCACCTTCATTAGAAAGCCCATTTTAGTTCTAAAGAATGGCCTGGCTGTGGCTGGTCAAATGGCAAAGAGACCTGCAATTACTCTTCGCTTAGTTGACAGCCTCTCTAAAAAGGCCATGGGGCGCTTCTTATCCAATACTCGTCGTGAGAGGCCATCGTTGGTTTTTGGTGGACCTGTGTCAGTTCAGCACCTCGCCCAACTCCTCCCACTTCGGTGTCAAACATCAGTACAAGAACCTCTATATGTACTTGTAGCATCTTGTAGCTGTGCACAGGTTTGGAACCTTGAAAGGGACCTTTTTTAGACTTGGAGTGCTTCAAGGATACATGCTCCCAACGTAAGTGCGTCCTTCTAAGTCAAGTCAACTCTTGTGGGGTGTGTCATCTACAAATCGACTCCACCTAGGAATTGGCATGGCCGTCTGCCCTAGACCATGCCAATTGACACCTTTTGGAAGCTTTCCGGAGCCATTGAATCCTGAGGCCATGCAATGTTCGTTGCCAAACGGGCAATCACATCGCCGGGGTAGACCGTGTTGATCGAATCGGCGATCATCCCGCGTGCCGGCCATCCCGCGACGGTGGAGCTCCTTCCTAACTGGGCGCCCCCCAACCAGCTCGGGAAGTCACGCTCGCTAATCTGGTAGCCTGTCGGCTCGTCGCGGCATGCGCAGGCCCGGTCTCTTGCGGACCGTTTGCCCGTCCATCGAGGTGAGAACAGGTCACGTGAGTAGAACGTCGCACGCGGAAGCCGCCCAGCGATCCTCGAAGCGCCCGCCGAAATCCTCGCCTATGTGCGGGCTACCAGCCACTCACAACTCACAACTGGAACACCCGAACAAACCGTACAAACTCGCTGTACAATAATCACGATCACCAAAACACAGTCGTTCATTCAAGGTCCGTCAACCTGCTTCAATGATTTGCTCTCGATTGTGATCCATCTAACAAAGGCAAGGGACTGATTCACACCCTCTGTGCACGGCCTGTGAGCTCAAAGCCCAGTGCTTCGGTCGTCTTCATGAACGGCTTCCCTCGTGCTCCTGGGGACGCGGATTCCACACGTGGCCACGGATCGCGGACACGCAACATGCCCTGCCATGCAAAGTGCAGGTTGGATGGGCCTAAACTAAACACGAAAACACTAAGTACCTCACCAACGACCCATGCATGGGTCACTTGACGTCAGAAAACAAGCAGGTTCGACTGGCCTTTCGGTAAAAGTACGAATGTAGAATGTAGGGCGAATCATAGGGGACAAACGAACTGGGAAAACGGGAGAATTGTTTTCCAAGTCGATTTCTGTCATCCGTGAACCCCCCCCAAGAACGGTCAAGGAGGGCTGAAAGCTGCACCAGTGATGCGCGGTGGCAGCGTTGGTTTTTGCACGGCATGGAGCTCAGGCATTGAGCCAATTGAGCGGCCAAGCTTGACTTCCGATAGTTCTCTTACACAATCATATACTGGCACTTCCAGCATAAAGACGCGCAGGTCCCTTGATCTGAACCTAGAGGCTGGCAAATCTTCACGCGTCCTCGAGGAATAGTTGGCAAAACCTTCTGCCCCTTGCCTGGCCTCAGTCCGCAAAGGCTTCATGGTGAGAAATGGGATGTTTCTTACAGAAGTCCACAAGATCCTGAAGAGGTGGTGCAAGACAATGCCCGATGTTAAGCCTTTTGTTCTAGGAATCTTCGGATGGCACGGGCCTGGGCGGCGCCGGACCGACCTCTTAGGCCACGACCGCAGCATGGGGCAGCCAGTGCCTGAACCCCCATCCCTCCTCATCGGACATCCCTCACCTCTGGCTCCCTGTCAACATCTTCACGACGACGAGGTTTTCGCCATTTGCGGTGAGCAGGTGAAGGAGGAAGAAAAGGGGAATGCTTCCCAACAGGATAGGACTCAAACAACCTGGGTCCTGTAGTAAAGGAATGTCATGAGTCATGAGTTTGCCGAGAACTTTTGTAGAACAAAGGGGCTTCCAGCACCTTGGAAGTGACACGTGAAATACTTCCAGCATATCAGAAGGGGACCACATAATTCAAACACAGCAGGAGATGAATGGCTAAAGCCAAGGCCATGCGTCTGATGAACATACATGCTAGTCAGTCATGCTGATCATGCTGACCTACATCATCAGCAGCACACAGCAGTTAAAACACCTTGACCTTGATTCTCAAATCAAAACTTTCATTTTTCAGGACAGCTCAAAGAACATGCTACAAGAAATCCTGCTGCACGTGTGACTGACTGCCGGCTCGTCCATGTGCTTGGCTGGCCACTTCTCCCGATGTTGGCTGCATAAGTCTCCAAGAACTCGGAATGCCTGGCCCCGGACCCATCACGACGGCAGGGTGTGCCATTTCCACCGGTCCCTGTCCGGCTGCAAGCGGGCCAAGTACAAGCATTGGCAAGTACAAGCAACAACCCTTACCCAGGAGCGAGTGCCGCACTCCCACTTCCGCACTTGATTTGGTCAGCCCGAAGGGTCAGCGTCTTGGAGATCTCATCGGGTTGAGGCTCAAAAGTTGAAGCTTCATCAAAAGGAAGCCTTCATAGCTCACCTCCCTCGGCACTGCGCGGCAGAACAAAAAGGCAGAAGGACCGGATCCATACAGAAGATGTTGTGCCCATTCTCCTTCTTATCTGATAGGTCAGTTGGGGGAAGGCTGGAAATCCCTTTAAGATATTGGAAGTGAGCTCAAGGCACCATGCCTCTTTTCATCACGTGGAGACTGTGCGATGGAGATTCGTTCATGGAACTTGAACAGCAAACTCCTACCTTGGCACGGTGTTTCTTGAAGGCTCATTTGATGGGTCGCTTTTAAACCTTAAGAGTGAACAACGACAAACAACAACAACAACAACAACAACAACAACAACAACAACATCATACTCAGCATGGGCGGGAGGCGCAAACCACCTTGTGCTAGACGACTATAAGTTAGAAGTGCTATCCATGTGTTTATTTCATCTCCCCTACAGGGCTTTGGCCCCATGCTCCTACTTGCAGCACACCGTGGGTCCCAATCAGTTCGGTCTCCATGATGTGGGTCCCCAATGGGAGCCTCACAAACCAGCGCCTTCCTCTCCCAGACTTCATGGAGGCAAGGGCCTTCTGAAGCCAAGTGACTCCTCATGACATCCTTGATTGACCAATGACCCGTCGCAGGAAAAAGCTGAGAATTTGACCACTCAGATATACAATGGAGCCCTCAAGAAGAAAACAATGAAGAACACATAATGCCTCATTGAACAGAACATCCATGATCAAACATGTTCTATCCATTTGCAGTTGAATACCTTTTGTGGAACATATAACATATACATATTAAGGCAAAAGGCATCTTCAAATTCTGAACGAGTCTCCCTTCCAGGCTCTTGCCAATGATTTCAATGCACTGATCCACCTCCTCCGCGGTGATGCACAGCGGAGGTGCCAGGCGAATGATGGTGCCGTGCGTGGGCTTCGCCAGCAATCCATGCTGCGCCATGCGTTCGCCTGCGTTAAAAGGGCCACGTGGAGCGAGGGTGAGGACTCAAAGGAGGGTTATATATTTGTAGGTGAAACAATGGGAGAAGCCGAGAGGGTTGGTGAACCGTCCGATTTTCCAAAGGCGAACCCTTTCGAAAAAAGAACAGCTCGTCCACGCTCGTCCCTCTCTCGCGGGGTAATGCGGGGTATAGTTCGCCCGTCTTTGTTCATTGCCCCCCTGCCCTGGAAACCCCGCTCGCTTCGTCGTGTCGTCTCTCCACCAAGGTGCAAAGCTCCCAGGCACGGCCCTCATCGCCATAGCCTTCCCGATCGAACGGGGTGGACCGCCGAGCGTGGTGCGGCCGAGCACGTGTGTACGGCTAGAATTGGAAGGCGAGCGATAGACTTGGGCGAGCGTGGTGCGGCTCGTGGCAAAAGTGGTGCGTCACCCAGTGGTGCAACTAACTCTTTTCACTGCCCAGGTTCCACAAATAGTAGGTTTGGTTTGTCTGGCAAGAGTGGTGGAAGTAAAAAGGTGTCGAATTACTGGGCAGGTAGGCATCTTGGCAGGCATCCTCAGCTGGATGGACCATGGTTCAAAGGAAACATCGTCCAACCAAAACAGAGTGTCTGAAAGTTCCTCGCTCGATGTCCGTTTCACATGAACGCTTACATCCCTGTGAAGTGTCGGCACCCGTTCCAACAAGTTGACACATCTGCATAAAACCTGAATTACCATGTATTACTGTACCTGCATTTATGAGTTATACTGTGCAATTTGTTTGTGCCACGGTTGCATCGTTCTGAGATCGTCTCCGGTCCATAACCTCGGCTCTATGAGTTCTGATGACCCGAGCAGGTGTCACACGCTTTGAACCCTGGCCAGCGAGGTGTGGTTTATGGTCAAAAGAACGGTGTTGAAATCACCAAAGAGTGCGAGGTGTTGAAATTGTTGAAGTGGTCAAGTCTAAGGATCATGATGGAGAATATCACTGAAGAGTTGGCAAACTTCGGTCGAGTTCCTGTGTTCTACAACCTGTCGCAAGACCGATCGGATCAAGCAAGTCTTGGATTTGCGGTCCAGGAACCTTGGCCTGAAAGGAGAATCACTTGAAAGCACCAACCTTAAAATCCAATCCTGCAAAAACAGATCGCAATTCCTGATCACGCTCCATCAGACCTGAATCAGACCTCGAACTTTTAGCAATTCTCCCGATTCCAAGTGGCTACCCTTCTCCCCTTTCTCCCCGATGACAATGGCGTTGAGCAGGCCACGGCCACGCACCAACGCGATGGGAGAGCCTGACGCTGTCGGTTGGACGGAGCCATGTCTGGCCGGTATGGGCGGTAAGTATGGGCGGTACACTCTGACTCACAGGCCGAGCCCTGGAAGGCCAAACACATCGAAGACCAGCACCTTCATGTCGGGGTCACCTGGCTGGAAGCCCCTACACCACTAAGGGACCTCCATTGGACGCCCCTTGAAGGTCCAGGTAGTAATTTTCTAGTATAATTGAACTTGCTACAACTCAAACAAATCGTTCTTCTACCACCGTTCCCACGGCACCTGGCTTCTCCGAGAGCTTCTGCAAGCCTGCTCGCAGTTGCTCACCCCTCAGCCGAGAGTTCCTCGGACACTTCGGTGGTCGCGCTCAGTGCAGAACCAACCCCACACCTTGTTACTAGTAGAGTAGCTTCTTGCTACTAGCGATGCCCTTGTTACTAGTAGTATGGGGGTACAGCTCCACAACCCCATGGGGTGTTGATGACTCTATCAGTTCTTAGAGGCGACCTGCGGTGTCTTTAAGCATCTGGATCTCCTTTGCGATCACGATTAAACTCTGGCCCATGAGTTGACAAGGCCTGTTTGTTCATGTCAAGTCTATTTCACGTAGAATAACTGTGCCATCCAATGCCTCTGACTTCCAATTTTGTGGGGATAGACTCAGCACATCTCACCCTGGCTCCTTGAGAAAGATTCGAGCTGGCCCTATTTATGAGTTTTTTTACACGAAAGTTGTGAACACAGCCAAAGCAGCAAAAAGTTCTGAAGAATGGTGGCCTCAGCTTCTCTATCAAGCCCTCGTCACGAAGCACTTCCAACGCGGCTGTTGCTACTTTGCCTCGCACTCTGGCCGGATCTTTGCTGTGAAACTTGTGTGAGAGGATCTTGCTATATGACAGTCATGATGGATGTGCAGAAGACCCTCTGTGCCGGAGACCCATCTTTCTAGCAGGACCTGGTACATCAACGTGTGAACCCCAGGATGTCGGGGTGATTGATTCACCGTCGTGAACAAGTGAGGAACCGGGCGGTGAGGAACTGACCTGTAATAACAACACCCTGGAGGTTTCTGATTGCCATGTACATGAAATCTCCGGAGTTCGGGAGGTGAAGTGGTTCGTCTTGAGCCCCCAGTGGTCGGCCAGTTGGTCTATGGCGACTGCATAAAGGTCAGCACTTGGAACCTGAATAAAAGCCTGTCATGTACCAAGTGTGGCTCTGGAGACTGGTCTTTGGATCTTCCCAAGTTGATGGTTTGGCTCGGACACATCGCCACGGTTCTCGCCACACATCGCCATCCCAGGTGCAAGCTAAGGGGTTTCCTCCGTAGGTGCTGCCATGCTCACCGGGGCGGATGGTCAACATCACCTGTCAACGGCCACCGTCGGGGCGGAAGGAGGCACTGTCGGGCCGACCGAGCCATAGGCCGGGACAAGAGGAAAACACAGGAAGCCGGTCTTGTTGGGTGGGTGGGTGGGTGGGCCCCATGCTCCTATCTACTTCAGCACAGTGAGAAACGAGATATGAAGAGCCTACGATGTCGGCTTAAGACGGCGAACCTGCGGCAGACCTGCGGCTTACTGAAAAACGCGGCCGTCCTGTCGCTTCAAACCCAACCGAAAGAAAGACTCCAGGTCTCCAAGGCAATCATCTTTTACCTTGTGACCCCCAAAATATACATTGTGGAACATCAAAAGATTTGCTATTGCAACGAGGTTGCTGAACATGTTCCACCAGGTCACTTTGACCCATGGGACCCCCTGAATAAAGACAGACGGTCGACGTGACCATCTGCCAGCTGATCTACCTTGTGACCTCCCCGTTCTCCCAGGTCTCGTCCAGTCTCCTCGGGTCAACGGACGGGCCTCGCTCGAGGTCAGCACGGCGGAGACGGGCAACACACCTCCTGCAGCGGATGGACGCACCACCGCGGGGGACGGAGATGCAGCGCAGCAAAATGCATGAGCAAAGGATCCAGGGATTGGCACTATGGAGGTTTTGAAGGGGTCAACATGCTACATCAATTCATATAGATTGATATTTTTGCATAATGAATGGCATAGCACATTGATGGTTGATCTGCACGATGCATCTCAGAGTGAAACTCCTCCCGCACACGCTGCACTCCTGACAGGGCCTTTCCCAAGACCAGGATGTCAGGCCTTGCAGCAGGGCGAGGCCCCCCTGGACGTTCCAGGTAAGTGTCAAAACATGTCAAACGAATTCGAGGCACAGCTTGTCATGGAACTCCCATCGGCAACACACAGCACGAAGCTGCAAGGGATCATGTTGTACGAAGCCCTGGGGGCTCTGGAAAACTGGACCCTGCCACTCTTCCTGTAAAGTGGTTTCACCTGCTACTGGCGGAATGAGCGAATATGAGATGATCTCTAGAGATGGTATGAACATGTTTGAAAATAATGGTATTAGGTCATGTCTTTGTGCCCTCGGAACCAGCACAATTTCAGCGCTGCACTTCCCACATTTCCGCATCTCCAACCATCTCTCCGCCTCACACCATCACGCTTCAGAAGCGCGCCTCACGCCATCGTGGTCACAGGCCAAGAGCTTTCCGGTGCGGCCCAGGCCGGTCTGGACCTCGTCAGCGATCCAAAGCACCTTGTGCTTCGTGCACAGCTCGCGGACGCCTGGGACAGCGGGTTTGGGTGGTGTTTTGGGTGAGGAAGGCGGTGGATTTTCCACAAAGTGAGAGAGATGCAGTGCAATAGGTGGGAGGCTGCGGAGATGTTTTGAGCAATGACATGGACTCCAAGATACGCTTGAGGTAGCCATCCTGCGGTACCACTACTCCAGCTTCGCCCTGGATGGGCTCCACCTCACGAAAGAGCTGGTGCAGGTCCATGTGTCTGGTCATTGGAGGAGGTCCGTTTTGGTCCGTTGGCCTGTGTGTTTCTCATCCATCAACTGATCGAACAAGCTGGTTGAGTTTGGAAGGAGTGAAGGTACCTTCGAACTGATCGAAGAATCGCCTGAGATTGAAGCGAGATTGTTTGGAATTATTCGCTGGATACGATTGGAAGAACCCTGACATTAGATTTCCAATTGCTGAGATGCTGAGGATGTCGAGTTTGCTTCGACCGTAGAACCTGGACTCCACCCTATAGAATTCTTGGAACTCTGCACCCTTAGCCACGGCCTCCGATGATTCCAAGAAACATCTTCCCAGAAGCATGGCATGGAGCAGTTCCAGCACTTCCGAACGAACGGAGGGTGCCCGGGGTGCCTACTATCTCAGTGACTCACTCAGGGTGTCCAAAACATCCCTTTGAAACTCCTGGCGTGGGGAAACGGCATCATCTACCAAGACCATTCACATATGTTTCAGGAGTCCATGTATGTACAGATACATATGCCATACATGGATGGCGGGGCGCTATAGAAACATGATGAAACATGAGGTGTTTCTCCACCTCCACGGCCTCCAAATGCCGACTTTTCTCAGGAGCACCGATCTAAACGCCCCGGCAACCTGGTTCATGGACCAAACGTACGACGCCAGAAACTCTGCAGGGAAACATGTCTTAATACGCCCGGTCCTTCCCACCATTCCTTGACTTCCCATCTACTTAGCAGCCCCTTGTCGCTCAGTTCAAGCTGCCATGAAGGCACACACCTTGTCGCTGTTGGCCGCCAGCTGTGCCTCAAGCGCATCGGGATCGTCGTAGGGCACGTTGATGAAGCCCGGCACGAAGGGGCCAAAGCCGGTGGTGGACGAAGGGTCCTGCGTTCAGCGTCGGAGGGCTCCGAGGTCTGCGAGATGAAAACCCGAAAAGACCTGGAAGAAGCACTTCCTGAGAAAGCACCCACCCATGAAGTCTGCAGTGAAGAAAACACCCACGGACCCACTGCAAACTTGAAGTGGAACACCTCTGCACACGACCGCCAGGTGGACCTTTTCTTCCGCAAGCTTCCGCGCTCAAAGGATTCACCCCTTTTCTTCCAACTCCGAGGAACCGAAGCAACCGAACCCGATTTCGGGACCCGACGAAGTGGTTCCACCCGTCCGACCCCCAAAAGAGAACAAAGGGAACCGGTCCTTCCCACCATGGTCACTACCCCCGCCCTGTGGACCTCATACCTTTGTCTTCGGCACGTCCGCGTCGAAGACTTCCCGACTCCACGCGTCGAATACTTCCTGACTCCGCGCGTCCTCGGAGGTGCTGATGGCTGCGATGGTTCGGCCCCAGAAGTTACCGCTCGCGAAGATCACCTGCGCCTCACCTGACGCCCAGCTGGCGACGGCACCGGCGAGGCCGGGGGTCGCTGCGGTGGCGGGCGGTCAGGTCGACGTTCGGCCGGGCACCACGACGAATCGGGAGGGATTGGCGCCGCACACAGATCGTGTGGGTCAAGGGCAGGCGGCAAAGGGCGGGCGGAAGGGACAGCAAATGTGAACACACCTGGGAGACTGGGAACGTGGATCTTTGATCTTTGCTGACGGATGGAATTTGCAAGGGCTTGACCAAGGCAAAAGAACCTATATAATTATACCTTATCCATCCTTCTCCAACATTCTTCCCAACATGGTTTGTCAGATTTTTTCACCTCCACAGCTCAAATGTGACACCATTCCATCAACCCTGGGCCGTTCCGCTCGGTGTGCGTGATGACTCCCAAAAATAACTAATGTCCATCATGTGTGCCCCGAGCTGTGCCCGCAACGTTCTATGATTTTACATGTGGGTTGCCCGTTCTCCCTTCAGCCAACTGCTCCAATGGCTCGTATTACATGGGGAAAGCCAGTCATTAGGCACCACACCCTGGCCCAGGGGAGAGGATCCAACTTGATTGGTCCTATTGATCCATAGTAATTAGTTTGAATTGCCATACTATAGCCATGTTTGTCCTGTCGCGGGATGTAAGAATCCATTGACCCTAAAGTGCATCTTGTGTTTGAGTCTGAATGTGTGGCAGCCAACTGCTCTGTCTGTGAGTCTGTGATTGTCTGAGCCTTCAGGGATCTTCTTGACATCGTAGCCCCAGCGGCGAGCAAGCTTGATGGCAGTTTCCGCCGCCTCCGCGTCCGAATGGGAAGAGAGATGAAGAGAAACGTCCGTCTGGGCTCCAAGGCCTTTCAGAAGCTGATCTGCTGATCCCCGTCAGGCAGGTAGACCTACTACACCGAGCAGGTAAGAAAGAACATCATACGGTAACGGCATGAGTTTCCATGTTCTCCACTGTTGGAAGGGACCCGTTAGTCAGTCCTGCAGTCCTGCCGCAACCCATGCATGTCAGCTCGGGTGATGTGACTACTGCTCCTTGCAGGTGGTTGTTGCGATAGTTTTGAGAAGAGGTGTGAGGAATCGATGGCACTGTAAGGATTTGTCAAGGCCTCCACACATCTCCAAAGCAGTGACAAAGGGTTTTCCGCATGTGGAACCCAGTTGCGGGCAAATAATACAAAACAGCGTTTTGGACAAACAAATTGAGGGTCCTGGTGCAGAATGAGAGAGCAAAAATAATGACAAAAACCGTCAAACAAAGGTTCAAACTACTAAAGAGGATCAGGGTTTCACACGGTCCCAAGGAACAACGGGACAACTTCTTTGGCTCCTTCTTTGGCATCCATCGGGTGGCCAGCTCGATCGTATCGGGCCAACAGCAAATTGAGTCTCAGGAAGCTCAGCGCTTTCAAGATCTTTCAACCTCATCGAACACTTTCGGTTCTAAGGCGATAGATGCCCTCCTGACAGCCAGGATCATACTATCTGGCGAAAGGCGAAAAAGGCCATGACCTCAACTGGGTGTATCTTCATGTGCCTTCTTCAAAAGAGGGGTTCTCCAAGTTCTCCCAACTCCCAACCCACCAGATTGAAAAAGTAATTTGTCATCCACCCTTTTGCTCGAGCAACACCCCTGTCTTGGCCCCAAGTTCTCACGATCGAAACAGGGGCCCTGCCTCAACCCCTGTGTTCATGGGCAGCAGTCGCTCAAAGCCAAAATACTCCTCGGTTCGGCTTCTAGATCCTCCTCCCCCCAAAAAAACAACCAAATTGAAAACGAACAAATGGAACCATTCATCACCTCAAGAGCTACAACATCAAAATACATCCAAAAACAATAATCTACCATCCCGCCTCTTACTCAGCCAAGGCTATGCGTAGGAGCTGGTGTTCGGTCGGGACATGCGACCAGTCTGAGAAAAAAAGACACACCGAGATGCGACGAATGTCGGTTTTCCACGAGGTTCGCCGTTTTTGAGGCGCCAGGTTTTCCAAGTCGGACGGGGTGCGGACGGCCGTGTGGATTGAGGCATGGCTGGATCAAGCACGTGCGGTCAAGCCGTTCAGCAATTTAAAACTGGCCCAATGAGCAAATCCTTTCAAGAATCTTAGAATCAGAATCAGTTTTGATCAATGTTGGGACGTTTTGGGTCATTCCTTACGACTCTCTACAACGTCACGACGTCAGCTGCTTCAGCGAAAATGCCACCCTTCGGCCCCTGGGGTCGTCGCGCTCCGTCCTTGCTTCGCGATGTCACCGTCCCGAGTCCGAGCGTCGGTGACGAACTTGCAATACTCCCCGAGGGCGTCGTTGTGAAAGGCTCGGCTGGTCAAGGTCAATTTCTGCGCCTGTTCGGTCAAAGCGCCCAAGATCTTCGCATGGCAATGGCCCTGATTCACCTGAGGAAAATCACAACAAATTGCTGACCCTGGAGGGTGGCCAGGAGGGGGAAACGGATGCTCATTGTAGACAGCTGTCCCTGGGACTGGGGCTTGCAGATTTGTCAGAAACTGGTCAGCAACTGGCAAACGGTCTCTGTGCTGCAAATCACAAGTTCACACATCACATGGATGTCGGCTAGTTTCAAATTGACCAGTGTCCTCAAACAACTCCTGGTATCCTTGGAGCACCTTTAACATCTAACAACCCATGTTTTGGGAGAGTGGTATGTCATGACAATAGAGGACCCTTCCAAACACTAGCCTGCTCTTTCCATTCCTGTCCTTCTTGCTGTGAAAACTTGTGCGTGTTCCCTGACACATCCATATGACATGAACAAAAATTGAAACGCACAAAGTAGCAAACAGGAAAGAACACCTCCTCAAAGTCCTGGTGATTCCTCCGTTGACTTGTTGTTCTCTTTTTTCTTTGTTTTCTCTCTCTCTCTCTCTCTCTCTTCTCCACATGTTTCGGGTTTCCTGACGGCTGAGTAGGCGGAGAGGAAGTCGAAGTAGCACTTTCCATCGATGTCCCATACACGGGTCCCGCTCCCTGCCGAAACAAAGAGTGACGGACGGGTCATGGGGGAGGGGAACAGTTGGTTTTGATCGCTTCTTTGAAGAGTGTTTTGAGTGGGGAGTTCTTTCAAGAGTGCATCACATGATCACATGCATCACCAAAGGCCTTCGAAAAGTCCTTTAAGAATAAAGGCAATCCTTAGAATGTAGGAGGAGAGGCTGAAAGAACCAAAACAACAACACCGCACGTACCATGTAGTAGCACATCTCAGTCCGTCCTGCGCAGAATACCGAATAGCGCTTTTAGTTCCTACCACCGTCCTATCCTGAAACAATCTAATGACATCAAATGACCCTTTTTAAAGCTTGTCCTGAGGGAAACCAACGGGTTATTGTCCACGGTCTTTCGGAATGGGTCTCGTTGGAAAAGAAACGCCGCCTACTCCAGGACCTGCCCATCCATCCAGCTCGAATCAAGCAAAACACACACGAACGCAAAAATATATAACGAACACCAGCATGCTGGTGAATTGCTGGTGAACCAAAGATGTATTTTTATATGTTTTGTTGTTTCCAGGTGGCTGGCCTTTGCATAGGACCACTGGCAGTGGATGATAGTTGTGTGCACCATGGTTGTCTTCCAGGTCGATCATCGACTGTTGCGCGCTGCTCAGCACCATGGCGCTTCTTCTGGCGAAGGCGGCCACGCCCCAACGGCCCCGAGTCAGTGACCGGGCAAACTGGCGACCAGCCACTTGCCTCGGGCGGCAGTGCCGGGTACAGGTGAGAAACTGTTGGAAAAAATATTAAATTCACCAACAAGACCAAGTAACAGGTTGCTTGATGTTGAGAAAACTTTGACGGTGTTCTTGAACTCTTCCCGTTATTGGATACATTCGACATGACAACTCCAGCCAACTTGGCATGAAAGGCAGGCACACACACACAGAGTGCCCTATAGGGTCTGCAGAAAACATTTGATGCATAAATAGATCACCATGGTGGCGGCCACCACCGTGCAGTTGCACACATCCCGAGTGAAAAACGAGAGAAGAATTCCCATGGTGATCACCAGCGGCGAAGGAAAATAATAGATTTGTCGGTTTGTCCATCACTAGTACATTTGGTTTGTTTGCAGGTTCGCTTGCTCAAAGTGGCCGTAAAGGTATGACAGGACTCACTCTCGAGGCATTTTTGTTCAGCTAAAAAACTACGATCAATGAAACTGTCAAACTTCTCCAGATTATCTTGCGTTTGTTGTAAGCACTGCACCACTCCCATCATCAGAAGCAAAGAACATGTTTACAATTCAACACGCCTTTGAAGTACATGATTGCATTCAGTCCAATTCCATCCAAATCCTTCTCTTTTCCAACCCGCCCTTCACGAAGTGTATCAACAAAACGAGAAACTTCCAACCGCATCTCCCTCCATTTTGGTGCCCAGTGGCATCAAGCCCCCACGAGGCTCAGCTAAGACAAGTGCGCTGCTCCGGCCGCGGTCGACGGACGGGCCGCAGCACTCGGAGCCGGTTAATTGGCGGAGGCGCAGGTGATTGTGGCGTCCAACTTGTGGAAGTCATTTATCCCCCAAAGAAACCCAAGGAGCTTTTGGACCTTTCAAAAGGTCCGACCGCCTGTTCAGACCAATTGACCGAACGCTGTCCAAACGAAGCCCCGACCTGGATCGCTGGCCCTCCTTTATATGTTCTGTTCATGTTCCGTTCATCAACCAAGGTCCACTGGTTGGTGACCTGCTGCCACAACATGCCTCCAACGACAAAGTGCATTTTTTCCCAGCAAGGACAGCCTAAAAGGACGGGTATCTGGCATCCAACTCTTTCGGGAGTCTTTTTCCCGAATGCGCAGCGTTCTCGTTTTATATTTTAGTGTGTGTCAGTGTGTTTTTTCTCGTCAATCTTGAATGACCGCACCGAGCACCTGCAAATACCTGCAACCAGCATTTTGGTTGGGGACACTCTATACAATGGTATTTCTTTTCATTGGAGAAACGGTTGCACGGCAAACCTTTTGGCGCTTTGAAGATTGATCCAGGATGATCCAGGTATGTTTTCTACAGCAGGTTGGCCAACTGAAGTAGAACATGCCAAAATCTTAAAATATAGGTGACACGGTGGCTCCCGAGGTTCCTGTTTTCGTGTCTTGAGTCTTGAAGGGTGGGGCAATCACAACGATCATGCATGTCAACGATGGGAACTTCACACACGACCAGGTCCTTGAGGACCCCCACCGTGTTGACCCGAACACCGGACGCGCCTGCTACGGCTGTGAGGGCCTGGGAGTTGAAACTCACAGCGGTCGTCACGTGGGAAGTGAGCTGTCCCGTCTACTCATGTCTACTCCCCAGCATGAACATCGAACAAGGAAGTGTTGTTTTGGTCTTTCACCCTCGTAAGTGCATGTGTTCTGCTGGTTTGCTATCAGTTTACCTCAAAGCCCGCGCTGACCTCCAGCAATCCCCAAAATGGATCAAAGAAATTGACTATTCTCTGGGTCCCTTGGCCTCAGGTGGGGTCCAAAAGGCCCTTGTCCGGCTACAGCTCCGCAAAACGGTAAGACTCAGCGGGCCACTGCCCCTCACCCCTGCAGACTCCTAGGGGATGAGGGGACCGGGTGTGGACGCTTGAGCACACAACAGCTAAGCCCTAGGGCTCCAACCATATGCTGAGAAGGTGGTTAGGTCCCCTGCCACCGACCCCAACCACCTTCGAAACGGAAGTGGAGCCCTAGGGAAGAGTCATATTCCACCCCAGGCTCCGCAGACGTCTCCGAGCTCAGCTCCCGTACGCGCGGGCACTTGAGGTCGGCATTTTGCCAAGGATTGTGCCAACGGATGCGCTGGCCTCCCGGCACGAGCGAAGGGGAGGGAAGCCTCCTTTCTTCATCTCAAGGCAGCTGAAAAAACAAAACAAAGTTGACTTGGGGAAGGTGTAGAATTTGGGCTAGTGTCTGATACTGATAATGAACTATGTCGAGCAGTTGCATGCAGTTAGAGCAAACATTCATTGGACCAACTGCAATGTGTGCATTTATAAATCTTTATATAGAGCTTTAAACAATATATACATACATAGAGCTAAACAATATATTAATATATATCGCGATACATTGCGTGTTGTGTGGTTCCTTCCCTCAAGCGTGGCGTCTTCTTCAGTCTTTGTCGCTTGTCTAGGTCACATGCTACCTGTCCATGACTCCATCTGAGTGCTCGGGCCCAAGACTCCTCTGTACCACCTGCGCCACCGGCCGCTGCCACCGGCAGAATTGGACTTTGAACGGTCGAGGGGGTGCTTCAAAGCCGTATGATGGGTGGTTCATCCCGTCAGATATGCCACACTCAAGCACACAGCGACGGTTCGACCTGCATCGACGGAATCAACGATCGTACCCCATGACAACATCGTTCAAGGCCTCTACGATTCTCAAAGCCTGGAGAGCTTAGCTCGCTACACCCGGACCATGAAAGAGTCCTGCCACACCCGGACCCAAGAGCAGGACATTCCATGAAGATCCCACTGTCTACAGTGCGTTTCTTGGGATTGCAGGTGTTGTCTTCGTGGCCTTCCTCCCTGATTCCCATACTGCAGGTCTTGTTTGGATTTCACACCTGCCATAAGAAAATCCGTCGAATGGTCGGTCTTTTCGAGCAGGGGGCCCTTGCCTTAGTCTGCCCCCCCTGCCTCTCGAGCTTGCGTGTGTGCGAAGACCGCCTTGCCCCAGTCCTGGCGAGACGACCGAGACCACCGGTCCGACTCGTTCGTGGGCTCTGGTCGTTTCTGTGCCCGGCAGGACGACCGGTGTGTGCAACTCCGGATCGGAAGGGACCAACAAAACACCATATGCATATATCATTATATATCATATATAGCGATATAGTATGGACCCCCTTCTGGAAGCACATAAGTAGGGAGGTGGAGAATATTGAAATACATGAATGGGTGGAGAATTGGATAAATTACTTGTGGATTGCAATGCTGACTCATATGAAAAGGTATTACAATCGGATGGTGGGAGCGAGCCCGCAAGTCCGCCCATCCACATGGAGGGGTGTTGATTAAGCAAGAGTGTGCATTGCCAGGATCATCCTGTCTGGGTGTCCCCTCTAGAGATCCCTAAGCAGTGGGCTTGGCAGTCCACCCAGGATGGTGTAGGGATGGACTGTTTTCAGGATCTATCCACCCTGGCCTCTGGCTGTACTCTCATAGCATATCGTAGAAACCATCATGTGCCTGGGTGCTTCTATTATCTGGGAGGTGCAACGCAAAAGGGATTCTCGAGTGGCATCGGAATCTAGCGACCGCAGTTCATGCGCTTCAACGTTGCTCGTGATGGATCTTGTGGCCCAAGTGCCGTTAGACACCGAGGGTTTCAAAAATAGAGCCAAACATCATGGTACCTGGTACCACTGGTTTTCAACACTGTGGTCTCAGCCCGAGTTGGGGGTTCCAAGTCTGAGATCCCAACAAAACTTTCGACGCGTCACCAAACGTGCAAAACTGATGGCATGAACCTTGGGCGGAAAAAAATCTCACCGACCTACGGGATGCCTTCCCTTCCTTGAAAAGCACTATTCTTGATCTATCCGCAATTGTGGATGGAATGGATCATGGTCAGGTGCCTCGCTTTGGGATTTACACGCCTTGCTTGACATGAGTGATAGAGGACATTCCCACGGCCTTCACCAGGACAATACCTCGCCTTCAGAGCTTCCTGCGCCTCAGCCACCTGACCAAGAAGGACAGTCGCTCCAAAAATACGTGCAAACGGCTGGTGCGCTCTCTTCCCCATGTCTTCGCACCCGCTGAACGGCAAAACACTTAATGCCTGGCAACTCCCCCCTTTTAATTGAACAAAAACGCGGTTGTGGTTCGGCCTGCTCGCAAAGTCGGAAGTCGGCCTTCGAGCGAAAGACGACGCAAGTCTTACCACGGCGCCTTGTGAAAGGAGACGGCCAACATGGCAAAGTCGTTCTCGGTGGGTTCTGAGGAAGCTTAGGGGTTCCGGAAGCTTCTGGGTGAAGCACTGGCTGGTTCGCCGGGCCGTTTTTGCTGCGAAACCTCTTCGGTGGACGATGGTCGACCTTCAGTCTTTCATGAAGGCCCAACTTTGAGCACTAACTTCCCAGCAAAATCTATATGACTACTGTACACACACATATATATCTATATATATATATATGCACATGCCTGGCCTGCTTTTGCTCGATCATTTTCAACCTACAAACTTGCCTCACTGCTGAATGTGTTCTGTCAAGGGATGTCTCGTGTGGGACCGGTTCGAGCCTTGAGTCAGCCCGCTTGCTCGATGCCCCTTCACTCGCAGTGAGCTGCCAAAAAGATTCCACAAAACGATCCAGGTGATCTGCTACCTCTTGGAAACATATAGCAGTAATAAATTGTCCATAGGTCCAATTCTGGTGCTCTTTCCCAGCCGCTTACACATCAAGAACATCTACTCAAGGCCGGCACTAGAGTACGAGCTGCAAATAGCTGCAATGCTAGTCTTCAACATAAGACACTATGGTAACCCGCTGCCTGTTGCCCACCCAGTCGATTTGTGTGATTCTTGACCCAACGTGAGGTGGATAATGGCCTAACCACACTTCCGATCGATTCCTTCGAACCCAAACCGATGTGAATCCTTGGACCGGGGTCACTGGTAGCTCCCGATCGCGCAGCTCCTGACGGTGCTTCAAGGCTGGTCTCCGGACTCCTCGCCACATGCGAGGAAAAGGCGGAAAGATGAAGTCGTCAGATTCAGGAACGACATGTTCCGTGTTTTTTTGCACATAGCATTGGAGTTGTTGCCAACTGAGCGTGAGAGAATCCCAAGAAAGTACATCATGTGTTGGTTTATTGATGCTTTGATTAGCTGGGCGGTGGCACATCTTGGTGGGGAAAACACATGAAACTAAAGCAAGGCTGGTTGTAAAATGCAACTTATCAAACACCGGCCAAAGCACATTTTGGGGTCCCTAAAAGTCACGGACCACATGACCACACATTAAACGATCAAACGACAAATCAACCACGGGCCAACGGGATCGTTAAATATATAAGCCACCAGTCAGCGGTCATGTCAGCAAATCCCATCCCAGCCACACCTGGTAAGTACCTGACCACTGAGCTGCGCCTTGGATGCCCAGCAGCTTTTCAACGATCGGCGGGAAAGGAGATCCAACGATGCAACAAACTGTGTAGCGTTGCCCTAGTAGCGTCCTTGCTCCTAGTAGTAAGGCCAGGAGCCCCGTTCGTAGCGTCCTTGCTCCTAGTAGCGATGCCAGGATCCCCTAGTAGCTTCTTGCTCCTAGTAACGTCTCCCTTACTACTACTACTACTACTACAAGTACTACGACTACGACGACTACTACTACTACTACGACTACGACGACTACGACGACTACGACTACGACGACTACGACGACGACGACGCGATGCCCTTGTTACTATAGTAGCGATGCCAGGAGCTACCTGCGTAGCGTCCTTGCTCCGTTCGTAGCGACTTGCCCTTGTTCTGCCAGATCCTGTGACCTACCTCTTCATCGATCAATCTTGCATTCCGTGAGGAAATGGTTCCATTGGACTTCGTTTCTCCATGCACGGTACCTATATTGATGAACAAGGAATTAAGTGATTAAATGCATGAATTATATAATATATATATAATATGAATTGAATTAATACTGGTCAACTCAGAAGTCCCATCTGGTCGCTCTGAATTTTTCGCCCAGCTGCAGCAGTGGAGGCATGCTTGAGAGCTGCCTCAGGTGCCTCGCCAAACGAGAAGATGCCAACACGGCGTACGACGCGCTGGACGGCGGCTTCAAACAACTGAGAGTCCTCAAGTTCATGGGTCAACTCTCAAGAATGTGCACACTTTTCGCTATATTAAATTCTTTTTGGATTGTCCGGGTTGCTCCAGATCCACTTCGATATGTGCCTGCTTCTCTCTATTGTGGTTGATTCGCATTGCTATTTTTTGACCGAAGATGGGTGGTAGACGGAAAGTCGGTCCGAGCGCTAGGTATTGAGTTGTGGAAGATCTTAGTCTGCAAGAATGATTCGGTTGAGCTTGGAGATGTTCCAGAAGCAGGTTGGCTGGAAGTTGCAGAATCAAAACAGGTTTGATCAGGTTTGCAGGCCTGGCGGCGTACTTTTGTCAATATGGAGTGCCTTCAGGGGGCTCTGCTATTTTGAGGGCTAATTTGCTTTTATATATATCAATATCCTTCATCCAGTATCACGTTTGACTATTGTCAACTTATCGTGGTTGTGAGCTGTGCCATGGACCCTTTAGGTGCTAGAACAGCCACCGTCGACTCTAAGCGGATCCATCTTCGGCATATTTTGACATTAATCTTTCGGGGATGCCATGCTGCTCAACCGAAGCACTGATCACAGAAACTTAGGGTTGATGGATGTTGATTGGTTCCATTTGGGTGGGCAGAGTTCACTTGATTTCTCCAGAAGAACGGCTTCACGACACTTCTGCGGCACTTCTGCGGTCACACAAAGAGGCGCCATGTGACCCGAGGTCGGGTCCGTGCGCCTCTTCTTCGCGTCCGACGTGCTTCCGGGTCCTAAATCAGCGGCCTCGGACTCCAAATGGCAGGAGGCCAGGTTCAAGTGCGCGGCCACCTGGCGGTCCCCAGGTGGCGAGCAAAACCAAGTGACGTGAGGAAAAAGGCTTTTGAAGAGAAAAACCAGATGGAGGAACAAAAAAGATCACTTCAGTTGTTTTTCCGATGTACCTTGAAAAAACATGCCGGTACGTATACATGCTTTGATGCATGGCACATGAATCCATACCAAAAGCAACGGCCATCGCCGTCTTGGCCCGGGTGAATGCATGTGAATGCCACGCGGGCTGATCCGCGCGACTGTCGGCTAAGCATGCTGGCCTGGAGTTCCAAAGAACCTCATGTCTGAGCTTAACCCAACACATCCGTATGGAAACATTCGATTTAGGCGATTCCTGAATCCTGAATGGGTAGTCGGCCACTCTCAGCTGAAAAGAAAACAACAGTCTCGGCGCAGTGCCGAGGTGCAATCTTTTGCAATCTGGAGTGAGACACCAGCTTGCTGTCGCCGGATGCCATCGATAGTACACACCAAGAGAAATTGGCTGTGCAACCGAACTCTTCCATGTAACGTATCATGCATAAAAGTAGAACTATCCAATTGGTGCGTACAGAACGTCAATGAGCCTCCGCAACATACAGGAGAAATTGCTTCCCACGATCCGAGAGGTGGTGCCACTTTGTGTTCAGACAAGCAGCCCCCCGGGAAGCCAAGCTCAGCAGAGAAAACATCTTCTTGGGAGCCTGACTCAGGCCCTCAAAAAGCGAATTAGAGCGAGTACTATAGTGGTGGCGACCATCAAAAAAGGTCGTCACTGAATCACCTGAAACTGATTGGCTGGATCATCCGCGGGTCATTTGGATGCCGCGAAGCTTCAGAAGTCCTTCAGGCACTCCTTCTGCAAGCTTCCAGCTGTCACGGCCGTGCTTATCCTGAAACACAGGCGCACACATGTTTACAGCAGAATTCGCGCACACATCTTGATCCAATTGCATCATGAAAAAGAACGAAACAAACACAAACACATGTACATGCTTGATCATGGCTGCGGGCGACCCCTATTGGTCACGTGTACCATGACACTACAATGACTGCAAGGGCACTGCATGGAATTATGTGATGAATAGAAGTAAAATGCATATGAAACAATAGAAAATGATAGAAGATAGAAGATGCACCTTTAGTAACTATACTAGTATAACTATATGACACAATGGGCAAACTGCTTCTTATTGTGTCAGACCTATCTTGAAATTCAAGATGCTTCGTTACCTTAAAAAGCCCCGAGGCAGCTCTGTTTGACCCTGTCCTTCTGCTCGGGATTGGCACCATGGGCGATCAAAGCGGAGGCGATCTCCCACTCCTGACCGATGATGGCAAAATGAAGAGCTGTCAGGCCTCCTTTAATCTCACCCTTGTTGATGTTGATGTTCACTGTCGCTCCAAGTAGACATGTAGCCACCTGCCAAGAAAGGTGGCAGGAGTTTTGGCGCAAGGAGTAAGCACGATCGCGTCACCGAATGCTTTTATTTGATGCGTTATCATCTTATAGCTTGCTATAGTGAGGCTGTGTGTATGCGTGGGAAAGGGGCACGAAACATGATTCCTATTTTGGCAGTCTATGCCGTCTTGCGTAAACAAGCTGTCGGTGTTTGAGCCTCAGCATGCTTGTTCTGCACTGAAACTGAAAGCGGAGTCGTCTCGTGTCGGGGCGTTGTATTGGCGTTTGCACGGATCGCCAGGAGCTCCCTCACGATGCCCAAATGCCCTTTAGATGATGCGATGTAGAGCGGGGTCGCATGACTTGCAAGGGCTAGCTCGGGATCTGCACGCTTCTCCAGTAACTTCCTCACAATGCCATTGTGCCCCTTCCTGAGTTTGTGTCGCATTCCTTTTTTCCGAAACCGCTTGGCAATTCTTAAGCCATCGGTCAGGTCAGCCTACAAACCACTGCTCAAAAAGAATTCAACAGTTCCAAACCAAAACTCTGGCAGGCGATGAACAAGGGCGTAGCTCCATTCTGGTTCTGATGGTTGACAGAAGCGCCTTGTTCAAGCAAATGAGGTACCAAGCGGGAGTGACCGTTTTGGCACGCAATGTACAAGGGACTTGTCTGGTCGTGCTTGAGCTGGTTAGCATCAGAATCGTTTTGGAGGAGCTCAGTCACAATCGCTTCATGGCCGCCTGGACTTCGGCGCACCCAACCGGCCAATGCATGGGATATATCGGGACTTCTGTTGGACTTGGATATCGCTGTCGTCCAACCCAAACGAGTCATGAAAAGCATAGTCATATACATCTGGACTCAAGGAGCAAAACTAGTCATGAACAGCTCCAGAGCTTGGATGCGATGGGACTTGACATGTTACTAGTTACCCACGCTCCAAGCTGCACGAGCGAAGACTACCCTCTGCCCTGGTTCTACCTGGCCCTGCCCTAGAAAAAATAACGTCCAAACCCGATGGTATCATCGAAGAAAGGGTTTTCTCTTCCAAGCGGGTATCATGTATCATTTATCATCCACCCACGGGTTCTTTTCTCCCAACCGGGATCGATAGGAGAAATCGGACCTGCCTTGGCAAGCAATGAACAAGGGAGTCTCCAATGTCCCCGTCAAGCCCTGATCCACTCCTTGGACCAGAACATGATTCATCCGTTCCAAAAATCAACCAACTGAAGGAAGACTGCTTGTTATTTGCTTCCTCAAAAGTACTTGAATAATTGCCCCTGGAGTATTCGGTAGCTTTCCAGAAACTCTTGCGGCTTTGGTACTAGCATCGTGCACGCAAACATGGCGCATGACGCTTAAAAAAACACAGAAACAACTGCAGATGAAAAAAGGTGGAACATGACGATCGCATTTCTCCATGGAAATTCTTCAGCCGGCGCTTCAGGGGTGCCTTCGACCCGCAGGCTCTGCTCAGCCGGTTCCGCCCAAGAGGCTGGCACGGAGTGTCAAGAGATGGATCACCACACTGGCATGGCCATTTTGCGATGCCAAATACAAAGCTGAAGCACCGCCTTCTTTCTGGTGGTTGATGACCTTCACCCAATCACAAACATCAACCACCTGGATTGTACTCTCTTCTTCTGGATGTCACGCGTATGTATTTCAAGGATAACTGCTATTTGGAGGGCTGTCCTGTTAAATATATTCAACACATTTATGGATTCAAAACCAGATGTTTGCAAGGTTTTGGATCAAACATCCGAGTTAGCTTTGACCGAGTCCATCAAAACGAACCGCCGTCATGCGCCTGCGCCATGTCGGCCACAGGAAGCACTTGGAATTCCTTCGGGCAAACATCCATTGGGTTTAACCAAAAGTATCCTACACATTCCAATCTATCACTCATGCATGTTACATGTTTACCAAATGTGGAAGGAACGCATGCTCATGATGCACCCTGTTTCATGCGATGTGGCGTTCCGAAATGCAACATGCCGCTGCTGTGTGATGCATCGCATAAACAGAAACAAGTCCTTAGCAAATGCATCCTTTGACAAACCAAATGTGGCCGCACAGTGTTACACACACGTGATAACACTTAGTTGTACCATACACTTGCAAAAAATAGCTCAAAAACACAGTCACAGGAGATTGCATTCATGTGGGTGGCAGACATGGGAAACTTCGCCGCTGCACCAACTCGTCGACCACTTTCTCCGCCCAGATCGATCGATCTTCTCCCAGCAGAATCAGGAAAACGAAGCCAAAACGCTGTAGCGTTACACTCGCACAAGTGGGCCAAACCCCCCTGTTTATAAAAGGAAAGTAGGCGTCCCAAAGGCGGGGGACCCCCCATTTCCATGTGGTTCGTCGGAGAAGTGTAGCTGATTCTGGACATATCTTTCTGGTCTGCAAGCGTCCTGCGTCAAGAACAGCACCACATCCATGTGGCCATTCTGGGATGACACGAGCAGGGGCGTAGATTTATCATTGGTCTTCACGTCCAGCTGCCCCAAAAGAGCTGCAGGCCTGACAGGAGAGAACAGAAAACATGTCCCAACCCAACCTAATGCCTCAATAGCTCAAAGAAACAGCAAGTTGAAGTTTGCAAACGTGCTTTCTGTCCTTGAAGTCGAAACCGCGGAATTGAGATAAACCAGTCCCCGTTCGTTTCTTCCGTTCGTCTTCGGCCTATTTTCTTATTGAATGTGCAGGCCTTCATCCGTAGGCGTGACGTGCAAAAATCTTGTTCAACGGGTGTTGGGGATTCTTTGGAGCTTGGTGCCCAAAAGACTTATATATTTTGCGTTGCCTGCCGCAAAAATAGGACTTGGAGGCAGCACGCTTCATCCAACGAAGCCATTGAAGGTGTCCACACCGCACTGGGTGCGTCGCTCCGACGGCGGGTCCAGGGCGAAGGGTCTTGGTTTTGGTGGGGGACCGGGAATGACACAGACGACGACAGCAATAACAAACGACGCCTTTCGAGCAAACCACCTTTTGGAAGCAACGTTCAGGCAAGGGGTTGTGACAAGCTTGTAGCTGTGTGACAGGCAAGGGCCGTGAGAGGTGTTCGTTGTCTGAACTTGTTTTGAAGCAGTGCCTGCCTCATGGACACTCAAAGACTCGGGCTGTGCCTTCCAACAGTGCTCAAGCAGCACATCCCTCCGCATCACCCAAGAAGCCCTACAGGTCTCGAGATCAAACTCTCACTGAACTGCTGGATCTCAGATCTGAGAATGCCTATGTTCGGTGGATCTCCAAGCTCTGGTGCGAGACCTTCACACGTTTTCGCTCACGCATTTCTCCAAAAGAGAGCTCTGGCATGCGACAGAAGAGAAGTTGGAGCTCTCAAGTGTCCAAGTAAGCATTCGCGCCCCAAAAGCAGAATCTGCACTTTCTACTATATGCATTTGCCGCTCCCCTCCCCCCGCCGCCAAACCTCTGCCATGATCTGTCGCGGCGAGGTCCTCCGGTCGCGTGGAGGGCGAAGCTCATGCGTCAACACAGACGCGTCGTTGCCCCAGTATCGCCGAGGGGGTGTTCCACAAACATGAGGGACACATGCATTCCATTAAGCGAATGCTGCAAGAAGAAAGCAAAAGAACTTAAGGAAGCACTCGTACAACGACTGATGTGAGAGACTCGTCCGGACTGATGTGAGAGTTGTGGCAAATACCGAGTCAAATACACACTTGGCCTGCCTCAGCTTGATAATCTCTAGGAGAAACTGCAAGACTCCTAGGCGGCCATTTTGCGCAGCAATGAAGAAAGCCGTTGCGCCACCAGCACCCGTTGCTTCAATGTCGGCTTTCTTCTCACACAAAAACTTGATCATGGCTTTGTGTCCATTTTGGGCCGCGACGTAGGCAGGGCTCGTCCCATTCTGTAAAGAGAGCTGCACATCGGCTGCCCATTCAACCAACACCTTGGCCACGCCCAAATGACCATTTTGAGCCGAGACGAAAAGAGGAGTTGCAAAAGTGGACATCGGTTTGTTGACGAGAGCTCTAGAGGACAAAAGGATGCCGGCGGAGCTCTGGTGTCCATTCTGCGACGCGATCAGGAGTGGTGTCGCTCCGTCATTGGCTGCTACGTTGGGATTGGCTTCCGCTTTGAGGAGCAATGTAAGCGAGTCATCGCACCCCTTTTGAGCAGCAATGTAGACAGGCGAGGCACCTCCTGCAGTCCTTTGTTCAAGGTTTGCATGCCAGGACAGAAGTAGCTCCACGATGTCACTATGGTCGTTCCTCGGAATGCGACGCGGAAGCTTCGTGCTTCGTGAAACCGGTGAAAAGAAAGACAAGTCAACTCGTATAGATCAAAATGTGCACAGGATTCGAGACCCGAGCTGCTGGGCAGCAATGAACAGCGCAGCTGCACCAGTCTGGTTAGGGAGATCGAGGGAGCTTCTGGCAATGAGAAGCATCTGCACGATTCCATAGTGACCCATTTGGGAGGCTATGAACAGGGGGGTGGCTCCGTCCGCTGTTCGAGCGTCCAGTTTGGCATTCGATTCCACCAGGAAGCCAACGACGTCCAAATGCCCGTTTTGGGCAGCAACGTAGGCTGGCGTTGCATTGGTCTTGAACGACTTGTCCACTTCAGCCTTGTACAACACCAGGAACTTGGCTCCAGGAAGCCAACCATGCTGCGCAACAACGAAGAGTGGAGTGGCACCATCGATGTCCTGGGTGCGTTTTGGCTGCACATGTTGGATCGCTTCTTTCGGAACATCGGTCGATGAGTCTCTCCTTTTTTCAAGCAATTCTTACTGCGCATGGCGAGAGTGATGTCTCTTGTATCACCATGTGGCAAACATGGCCGGGGGACTGTGGAATGGATTCTAGAATGTGCTCTCCGGCATGGTGTTTTTGTCATGTTTCCTATTTCCGAGACCCCTTATAAGACTTCCCATCATCGCCGCGTCGTGGAAAAAATTGAATACTTTTGATATGTTGTGATGGGTTTCATTATGCTTCTAGTATATATATATACATACTCCCTGAAACAATCATGAGAGTGGATCATAGACCCCTGGAAGGCCTTTTCCTCTACAAGAGGGTCCTGGTCAGCTTCCATGATTCTTGGAGGGAGGGTAGCCAGTCCAATGCAGTCCCAAAAATTGTTTTGGAGGGTGCTACAATACTGAGAGAAGTAGCATGTTACTGATGGGAGGCTGGTTGTATGATCATGGACCGACCAAGATCAACACTGGCAGATATGGTTTAACTTCAACTCTTTATTCAACATGCTGTTGGCAGAAATGCTGCACCACAAACAAATCCAAAAAACACACACAGCAAATCCGTGATCGACTCAGTTTGTTTCACCCTTTTTGTGATCCAGAAATTCTTCCATCGTTTGAGTGGGACTGCAGTTCCGTCAATCCAGTTCACCTCGTCCCACATGATGATGCTTAAGCTACTTGGCCTCCATCAGAGTGCTGAACACGCCAGCTGAACGGGATATTCCAACAGAATGGATTTGGGATGGGGTGGGCTTTGAGCGAACCACGGCCAACTGTGTTCGTTTCAATCACGACAATCGCCCGAGTTAATGAAGACCATTGAACACCCCTTGGCTGGTTGATTCTCACCAGCTGGAAATCACCGTCTCGCTTTGGTTTGGTCCAGCGTCTGCCTGGTTGAAGTCGGCACATCCCAATTCCAAGATCTCCAGCTTTGGTAGGTCAGAGTTTCTAGAGGCCTTGAAGGCTGCGGTCTCGCCTCGCTCATCGGTAACATTTGGATCTTGAAAGTTCAGCAAGTGACCTGAGATGCGCCGTGATGCACACATCCAAACAGACCAGGAACAAGGACCAACTGATGGCTAAAAACTGATCATGAGCACACGACACGTGCTTTCCGTTGGCGCTTGGCCTTTGGGATACTATCAGGTTCATCAGTTTCACCCCCTTGTTGGGGCAGCTGACTTTGGAGTTTCTCATGGTCCTGCCTCGAATCAATTGATCAGCATCGGTGCCCACCTGCCCTGCCAGCTTCAAGAACTCCTTCGTCTGCTCCTCTGTGTCTGGGCTTTGCACAGCAAAGTTTCCACGGGCGATTGTCACACGCTTTGGCTTGCCCAAAGCTTCCCATGAGCCAATCTGCAAGATGTTCTGTCCTTAGCAGGCTGGTTTGTCAAACAAACCAAGCGATAGGTCCAGTATATATGTGAAAAACAAAGGCAGTGTTCGACATACGTAGCTTCAGGACTAGAGCATGGCCCGAGACTCCATCCATGATTCGAAGTGTGAAATAGGACACTGACTCACCTCGAAGTTGGTAGTATTCCCGCAGTTTCTGCCTCACGCAATGGACAAAGTCTTGCTGAACATTCACTTCAGAGATGGGAAGTGCCATCTCATCTCCGCTGAAACCCACCGCGAGCGTCACAAAGCTGAGAAGAGACTGCCACTGTGCTCCTTCCTCAGCCATTTCAGGAACCAAGTCCATGGGTGCCTTGCCTCCAGAGTCTCTGACGTCAATCCTGGCCTTGTGCTGAACCAATAGGCTCGCAGCTTCCAGGCGTTGAGCAGCAGCATGCTGGTGCAGCGCCGTTCGGCCATGCACATCCGCCCAATTGATGTCCGTTCCCTTCACCAGCAGCCGGACGAGGTCTGGAGTCAAATCGTCGGCGCGATAGCACTCAGGAAAACGGGCCATGGCCTCGAGTGAGGCCACCATCCGCCTCCCATGTGCCAAAGAAATGGCACTCGGAGACTCGGACACACGGGCAACATCGGCTTTTGCCTGGCACAGCATGGTAGTAAGTCTGGCGTTGTTGGCCAGCACCACCATGGACAGCAAACTGGGCCCGTTCGGAGAATGGCAGGTGTGATTGACATCCGCCTGAGCCGTAATGAGCTCACTGACTCTAACATACCCAAAGTCATTTCCAGCTAATGCCTCCTGTACAGCCATCATCAAGCTCGTTCCTTGGTGACGCGCGTTCTTCCTAAAAGGCCTGCAGCTGCCAGGAGCTCCTTCGTCATTCTGCTGGACACCATCGGAGGGTGCTTGGTCTTGGTGCCTCATAGGCTGAGCCGAGTTGCTGTCCGAATCTGCTACGAGGCCACTGCGACTGACGTGGAGCACTCGCTGATAGTCGAGTTCCAGAGACAAGGCTCTGTAGCACTCGATGAGGTAGCGTAGATCGTCCTGCAAAAACAGCAACGCCTGATAAATCACCGCAAATGTGGTGATTCACACACCCAGTTTAGCCTCTGTGGATCTCTGTGGAATCTGCAGTTTCAACCTCAGAACAAGCCCCGGTTCTTGTGTCGGCCCTGTTGCAAGAGAGATTGGCGAGGTTTCATGAAGACAGTGACACCCTAGAACAGCTCGTAAATTGTCAAAAAGATTTGAACCCACTATTGCTCCTTGCACGGCCTCTTTCCCTCTTAGCCTGATAAGAGTCAGCACTATAGTGTGATCATAACACTTGCCGCACTGAACCCTGACCTTTGTGTAAGCACATGCGGAAATCGCCGACCCAACTAGCCAAGGCCTATTCTGTTTGGCTTCATCTTGCTTTCCCCTCTTTCCCCTAACAGTATTGTGGTAGTCGAAGGTAGCACCAAAAGCATTGAAGGACGCGTCCGTCACAGGAAGAGCTCGCTCTACCGTTGGTCGTTGGGTCGGTCCTTGGAAAGAGCGAAGGTAGGGTCGAGCAAGGCATGCTCTAGAAAGGCCTCTCCTCTGTGAGCAAGAACATGAGCAAGCTCTTCCAAAAGTACTTGGACTTCAGAACTGTAGTCATCACCAACAAGGGACCGCTGCATTTGAAATGACCTTTGAAGGTATTGCTGGGCCTCACTGAAATCCCCAGCCTCCACCATCAAGTAGCCAAGCATATGGAGCGTGAGAGCTACTCCGTAGCTGTTACCAGTACCATACAAAGCTTGTTGCATTGCTAAAGATTCGTTCAAGTACTGAACTGCCTGCTGGAGGTCCCCTCGCTCCCCAACTACAGCTCCAAGCTGGTGCAAAGTAGATGCGATCCCCGGATCGACATCACTCTTCAACGACCTCTGGATTCGCAAGGACTCTTGTAAGTACTTCTCAGCTTGTGTCAGGTCCCCCATCTGGCCTGTCACAACGCCAAGCTCACTCAGAGTCGTCGCAGAATGAAGGTGGTCCCCATGATGCAAATTCTGTGTCACTCCTAAGGAGTCTTGCAAGTACTGCAGGGCATGCCTCAAGTCTCCAGTCATGGCGGTCACAAGACCAATCTGGTGCAAAGTGGCTGCAATGCCAGAATCGACACCAGAATTCAAAGACCGGCGCATTTGCAAACACTCTTTCAGGTATCGCAGTGCCTGCTGCAAATGTCCTCTCTCCTTGGTCACTGCTCCAAGCTTGTGCAACGTTGCTGCAGCTCTTGGATTGGCACAGTCACCGTATATAGCATGTTTCATCTGCAGGGATTCGTTCAAGTGCATGAAGGCTTGCTTCAAGTCTCCAGTCATGGCAGTCACCACACCAAGCTGGTCTAAAGTAGCTGCCCACAGGTGTTGATCAACATCCTCAGGAGGGAGATTCTGCTCTTTCTGCATGACTTCTTGCAAGTACTGGATGGCCTGCTTCACATCCCCGCTTCCAACCAGCACAAAGCGAAGAAAGTGAAGAGTGCCTGCAATAGCACTCTGGGTCTCCAAATGCACTTTGACCCCCTGCTTTCGCTCTTGCCAATGCTGCAAGGCATGCATCAAATCCGAAAGATCTTGATGCAAGTCTTCTGTCTCCGCTGCCACTATGACAAGCTTGCGCAAAGTGTCCGCGGTTCGAGGATTCTGGTCATCCCCTGGCCAAGCCTGCAGTATCCGCAAAGACTCTTGTAGATGCTGCCGGGCTGTTTTCCAAGACAGGATTTTCAAATTCACTTGAACCAATTCGTAGAGTTTGCCACAAATGGCCATAGTCTCGCCTTTCTTTTGCACCTCATGCAGCTGGTGCATCAAAACCTGGTGGCCCCTGGTGAAGGATGGTGGTGGTGAGAAGTGCCAGCCGTCACCGCTGGCACCGCTGGAGGATCGGTGGATCATGACGGAGAGTCGACGGGCCGGATCGGTGGTTTGAGGAAGGCTGGGAAGGCTGTCATGAGGTTTGCATGTCTGGTGTCCTCCTTTGCTGAGGTTGTGGCAGGACATGTTTTTTTTCCGTGCACGCTCTTTCTCTCTGAACGTCTCTTTTGAGCCTGGACAAAAGTGAAAGTACTGATATTACCAGCCATGGCCATGGGGCTTGCAGCGTGGGCCAATTCAGTGGGCCTTGCAACGCAGCAGTCTTTCCAAGCACTCTGGCAGGCATGGCAAAGGCCATTCACATCTATCATGAGAGCAGGGATTTGGAGGGTTCCTGTCAGGTTTTTTTGAAGCGTTTGCATGGGCAGCGGATTTGTTGTTCCATCTCATATGGTACAAATTGCATTGCCCTCACTTGCTTCCAAACAATTCCATGGGAGAAAGAACCAATTGACATTGACAAAGAATGGCGAAACACCAAGCCTTGCAAGAAACCCAACGCTTGGCCAAACGCCATGAGGAAACCTCGGTCCCCTTGGCCAAACGCTTCACCCCTCCCACCGAACAGCTCGCCCCCGCCAGCGTGCGCAAGTCGGAGGCACTCACCTCAGTTGGTGCTCACGACGCCGTCGTTTGGTGACAGTCGGTGATTTCTTTTCACATGACAGGAAACACAAGAGGACTCGCTGTGAAACACTGCTGTGGGTTTCACGGTGCTCGGTTTTTCGACTGTTTGTTGAAGATGCTTCCATGTCCAATGTGTTTGCTTCATTTCTGCTTCAGCCGTCCGCTCTGAGTGCTTCATGTGAGGTTTTTCAACACCTGTGTTGGGACATGAGCTTCTCCACCGGTCCAGTGCCGTCCGATTCCGAAGAAAGGAGGGCGGCCTCACAACCGGCCCCGGCAAACCCGCAGGTGATTGGACGAAGTCTCTTTTGGTTAGGCTTTGGGGACATTGTTGAGCCAAAGGCCAAAGCCTATTAGCATATGCTATAATATGCTAGTATAAGCACTCTAGTAAGTCATAGTCATAGCCGCCAGGCTGCCACAGAAAGTGCATCGTGCTATGCACGCATGACTACAGTAGGAGTTCCTCCCCCAACCCATCCCATCCACCGAGACAGCGGCTTTGCCCTCGCAGTCTTCGAAGCGCATCTGGGAGGTGGCCGGACGTCATCCCAATACCCCCAGCCACAGGAGGTCTCTTTTTGGAGCAAACAACGGGCCCGTCATGAAATGGGAAGATTCTGAAAAGCCAAAAAACATATCACCAGGAAACACCTGTGAAGTCGGGTCCAGGTAGAGTTCATGAATGTTCATGATCAAAACCCTTGGGGTCTGACAGTGGCATTCACCCAGCTCAAACATTGTCACACAACCCGTTGATAATCACGTTGTGCAAAAAAAGGATGACAGCGTCGTGGAAACACGATGCTCTTACAGCAAGCACACATATATCACGGAAAATGAGGTGCTCCACTCTCATCGTGGTGCTCCACTCTCATCACCTAGGAAGAGCTTAGAAGAACTTAATATATATTTGGAAACAACAAGAAGCTTCAGTCGTGGCCCGTGTCGATCGTCCGTTTGGGCGTCATCTTCGAACCTTTGGGGCGTGCTGAAGCGATCTGTTTAACTCATAACTCCCACCCCCAAGTATACCTGCAACCTCGTGGGTGTTTATTCTTTTGTTTTTTGGTCGGTGGTTCAATATATATATATACCTTTATTTAGGTCTGTGAACCACATAAACATCCGCAACCAAAATAAACATCCGCTAAAACGCCAAAGGCGTTTTTTCCCGAAACCGTGTTCGGGAAAAAACGCCTTTGGTTCACCAATAAACGCCCTTAGCTTGTGTGTAAACGCCAGTGGAAAAGCAGAAAAAAACATCAGAAAACTAGAGAACCATCCGCAGACTCAAATATAAGGCTGTGAAAACGCCGCAGATCGAAAAACAAATAAACACACTCTGAGGAAGTTCCAGGTATCACGTGCGCCTGGTGGAAGTTGAGCGCACGCTGCCTGGCCAAGATCTCAGATCGAAGATCTAAGGTGCAACTGTTGGATACACCTAGGAAGGGATCCACATGGAACCTCAACATGAACCTTTGGAAGACTAGCTTCAACAAACCAGTGGTTATATAGTGGTTTTCAGGTTCCATGCGAATCTTCGGAGTACTCGATACTAATCTTACCACTCGGACGAGGTGGAATCCAGAGGCCCCGCCTGAGGAATGACCCTGTTCCTGACGTTCCGACCCAAAGAGGTGGTGCCAACCATGGAACATGAGTCGGAGGGTAGATCCAGCAAGCTGGGAACCGTCAGCCTGTCATCACTGCCTGCCTGGACCCACCCCCAGTTGCTCCACATCTGGGAAGGCCCGGCAGTTGCTCGATCGCGGGGCCGAAGTCCTTGAGACGCCTCCGGCTGCCAAGTCAAGCGCTGGACCACTTGGCCATCCGTATGATTGGCAAGAGAAAGGCGACGAAACACGATGAAATACGGGTCAACAGCCAAAGCTTGCCAAGTGAGTCTTGACAGGGTCGACTTGCCGCTCATGCTCATTCTGGGTCGACTTGACCTGTCACAGTGTTCTAAATACGTTGGGTGTTACCACAACTCGGTGCAAATCACACCTGGAACTTCTGATCACTCCATTCATCCGCAAGAATCCTATTCCCGCCTATTCCCTTTAGTGGTTTCAGAGATGGCACAATCCTCAAAGGTGGTTTCTTTGGACCCCCATATGACAATGCGCGTTGGGCTTCATGCCATCTACTCTGAAACTACAGCTTTGTTGGTTTCTCATCCTTTCGCCGCCGTCGATGTCGACTTCGCATCTCCGATGGTCGTCTTCCCAAAGAGCGGTGCCTGTAGGAGATTCCCAGGTTGCCAGCCTTAGCAGCTCCAGGTCGGCTCGCTCCGATTCCCGGCCGCGTCGGCGTCCGAGCGGACCACGTCCGACGCGACGCGACGCTCCCTGCGTGCGCCGTGATGATCTACGCAACCGCCCACACCCCTCGTCATGCTCGCCCCAACAGAGCGAGCATCGACGTGGAGGTTGGGCCCACCATGATCCTCTGAGGCCAAGAGACCACTTCGGCCTGCGATGCGGCCAGCGCCTGGCCGTGGAGACAGCACACGTCCGCCAAAGACGGCACCTTAAGGTCCCGCATATATGTGTGTGTGAGTCATCCTCGTGAGGAGCACCCACAGTAGCACCTCCCCCCCACAAAAAAAAAAGGATACATCGGATACATGGCATACGGGTCATTCAGCTTTTCACATGTCTTTACTTTTACCCCTCGCTGCGCACCATCGCATGCCCCCAAATGCCCCGTGTAAGAATGGACCTGCAGGTTCTGGGTCTGGATTTCCTTTGGGGCCAAGAAGCCAACGGGGCTGCGGCACCATGTAACTAAGTACAGAACTCAGAACTCACACAAAATTACAACACAGGGCGTTTTCAACTTGGCATCCATGTCTAAGACGGTCTTTAAACGGCCCTTGCAATACATCTATGCTTGGACCCACACAATACCCGGAAGAATTGTGCATATTCAGCAGATCCAGATTCCCCAAGTTCCCATCTTTCGCGTGGAGCAAACCACAGTCACCTGAATGGAAGCCAAGCCAGCTGAGGTATTTGGCATGTGCCCTGATCCCTCCGCGGCAGCGGTCTCTACCTTCTTCTCCTCTCGCTGCATGTCACTCCAAACCATCTCATGGCCTTTGACACGGTGACCGTGTCGGACGGCGGACGAGGAGTCGGGCTGAGTCAGTGGACAGCTCCGCTCCCTGGACAGATCGCTGCAAATCATGTAACTTTTTCGGGGATTGGGCCGTCACTGCTGCCTGGAAACCCAATTGCCAAGTCCTATGTGAGCCAACTGGGAAAGTGCCGCACACGCGCAGTTCGTCAATGTTCTGAGGTCTCCATGTCACAGTTGTAAGCCAACCTGAAGGAACAACAGGAGTGTGGGACTGAGTGTGGGCGATCTATCAATGGGGTTGTCAGCTTTGTCGCCTTGTAAGTTTCACGAGCTTTCCCTTGACATCTGAGTGAAAAGAGGTCTCCCAGCCTGGTTTCAAAACAATATCCGCAGGTCAACGATTCAGTCTGAGGCCCCGAGCGTGTTAGCTCTTCCACCCTCTCGAGCAATGCCTCCCCACAGCGTGGCACGTGTCTGAGAGGTCACTGATCTTGTGAAGTTGGAGGGGCACTTATATGCTGGTCTATCCCACTGCTCTAGCAAGACCTCTCCCAAATAACCCCCCCGGACGAAATGGGAGAACCACTTTGATCTACCTAGACCATCCAAGGGGTGACCAATGGAAGCCTATAGGTAGTGTGGGGTAGTCCATTGGACACCCGTTGGATTCCTGGTATTCACCGGGGGATGACCCTCTGTCCGACTGAACGTCGCGCCCCTGATGCGGACTGAACTGCGCCCGTGTGGACAGAGTGTCCAGGCGATGAGTCCATCAGCGCCAGGGGGTAACTTGTCTTGGATTTGTCTTGGATTCATTTGGAACACCAGTTTCGATTGGCATTGATGATCCTAAATCACCAATTTCTATGGGAGACTCTTGTAATCAGTAGAACTTGATAAGCACCGTTCCCTCTCCCGCAGCGCCAGCCAACCCCGCCTGCGCTCTCAGTAGCTGAGTTTGAGCTTCTGCCAGCTCACCCTTGCCTATGGAGCCGCAGAGTGTGGCCAGCACAGTGTTGCCCCAAAAACACATATCGCGTGGGGAAACAAGGGTCAGCCACTGGGTCAGCCCATATTCTTGTGCTTTTCTGAGGAAGCTGTTGTGTGCTGGGAGGTCTTGGGCGATGTCCACCAGGAAACAAAGTCTAAACAAACCATCTCTTCTTACAGCCCAAGTAGCCCTAAACATGCCGATCGCCACCGAGCCATACATGGTGATGCTTTAGGCAAGTTAAATGTGCTAGACCGGACCGAGTTAAATGATGCTTTAGGCAATGTTATTGTCATAATTTGCATCGTCATTCTTTACAGTATATGGGTGTATATCAAAACAAGGCGACGTCCCAAAGACCCCCTGGAAGGACGGAAGAAAAAACCAGTCGACCCATTGGTTGGAGGTCAAAATGCAAACCCAATCAAACCCATAGTATCTCATATTTAGAAATCGAACAAAAAACACTTCTAAACCACTTAGCCTGAACCAGGTGCAGGTCCCATGCAGCCCACCGTTGAGTGCTAACCTTTCGGGCCCTCCGCGCGCCCAACGCGCTCGACTGGTCGACCGGGATCCGAGTGGCGCAGGAGTTGCACGCCCTCCGCTGCGCAGTTGGCCGCGCTTTCGCGGAGCTCCTGGACCAACGAAAGTGGGAGGAGACATGTCTGAATGAGTTTTGTATATGTGGTTGTTGTGCTTGTTTGTTTGTTTGCTTTGTTTTGTTTTGCTTTCTTTTTAAGATGGGGGGGGATCTATAATTTGGTGTGATGAAAAACGCAAAAATGACACTTTGAAACTTTGTGGTTGCCCCGTGGAAGTTTGGACAGTGATCATGGAGTTTGGGAATGCATTCTGCTTGCTGGATGTGCGTGGTTCGAGCATGAACCTCACAAATCCATTGATCACGATACCCACCAAAAAGGTCTCCGAAGTGCATCGAATCACTGCAAATAACACCGGGTCTTCCTCCCTTAGGCCCTCCCCAAAAAATCCCAAAACCTCTGATCCTTGCGAAGGTACCACCCCCTCGCCACCGACCATGTGCATCCCTCCTCGGGCGATGCATCCCCCTCTTCCGGACTTCGACGGGCCTCAGCCGAGCGGCAAGGAGCAAGCAACATCACCTACACTCTGACTCACTAACATGGAAACCCCCCCCTGTTCCGAAAGGAAAGTAGTCTTCCACAAAACCATGCCATCCACTTCCATGTGATGTGTTCGTCAGAGTGTGTAAGTGAACCATCTCTTGACAGAACACCCGGGTCAGGCAAGCTGATGAAAACAAGGCTTCTGTGGTGTTCACTTCCATCCCACCAGGTGTTGAGGTCTCCCAGACACTGTGTCCATCACCGGACCCGTTGGACCTACCAGACCTGCTGGACCCGCTTCGCTCGGGGTTCACCGCCCCGGACCGGGGGGGGGGCTTGAGATCTCCGGCACCAGGAGCGGATGCACTGATCAAAGCCAGAGCTTCTTTGTGTGCACCAGATGTCTCTGTCTTTCGTTCTTTTGGTGCCGTCTAGCTTCCACTCATGGCTGGACTATGCACAGGATTCGGGCAGGGAGTTATCTTATACCCAGTATTTGACTTGGGGATCCGGTTGGCTGGCTTGCTGAAGGAGGACAACTATGGAAAGCATCTTGCTATATATATGTATATAGTCTTTAGATTTGTAATACTTTTTAATACGTTTTACATGTTTTGTATTTCCGCATGGGAATGGAGAAGGAAGAACTGCAGGACATCTTTTGTGGTACGGCTGAACTTCTGACAACTTGGTGGTGGTCACAGGTTGGTTCCTGTACTACCCCAAATGCTCTGGGTCACGGGACATACCATCAAACCACCAAAAAACAGTAACAATCATGTGTTCTCAGGTGGTCCACAATTTCATCCAACAGTAAGGTGAAGAAACATGCATCATTCAAATGCTAAGTGGTTCGTTGGTTCGTTGGTTGGTTGGCTGCAAATATTAACTTGTATTGTAAAGATCCGCAAAGACCTTTGAGTCACACATGCCAAGCACCTTTTTGTGTGTACAACATGTCAATCACCCCGGCGCCACCCCACCATCCCTCCGCTCGCCACAGCACCAGCCCTCCAAGCTCCTCATCTTCCGCCTCAACCTCCTGTGCCGCGGATGGCTCTCCAATGCGCCATCTTGGCTCAACTAACTGAAACCTCCAGTGGCTGCCACATATGTGAACTTGTCCAAAAGTGGGTCAAAACTGAATGATCATATAATCAAGTGGGTCAATGAACTCACTCAAACCTCCAGTGCCATATCAAGTGGCTGTGAGTCAAAACCAGGAGCCCTAAACGGTCGCCCAACTCCGCCCAGCTCCTCTGGTGCCACTGGAACCTGTGAAACCTCCGCGCTGTCAGAGCTGCTATCACTGTCGTCCATCACCTCGGTACCAAACACGGTCGCCACGGTGGTCGCCACACCGGTCGCCCGTGAGCCGCTTCGTTTTTCACATCACAACGGAGCATCGATTTCCGAGATTTTGACACACAGCGCGCACACACAAGGACAACATGAGTCTTCTGAATCGATATGTATAGACCTGGATTGATAATTATTGCCGCACAAAAATCACCACCCCCGAATTTGGGCGCGCCTGCTGCTCTTCAACACATGATGGTCGCTCAAGCCGGGCTCGACCTCTTGTCAGCCCCTTGGAGTACTCGCGACGGGCTCCCGCCTTGAGCCGGAGGCGGGTTTGATCCGGTTTAGCAAGGCTAGCGCTTCTTCAATGCCAAAAAAAGGGCGGCGAAAGAAGCACGGTGACATGGCTCAAACCACCCTCACCCGACTCGAACAAAAGCACACACGTTTGGCTATGGGAGGAAAAATTGGGGGACCTCGCGAAAATGAATAGACAACTTGGGAGGTCAACCTATCGCTGTTTGGGGCTCCGGGTTTTGACCCACAGATCCTTTGAACTGGCCCTTCCTTGCCAGTAAGCCATGTGACCACATGACCGGGACTTGTCCTTGAGGCAGTGGGAGATGGAAGCCCCCACATAAAGAAAACCAGAGAGAGATAGAGATAGAAATAGAGAGAGAGGGGGGGAGATGGGGGGAGGGCTTGTCCAGGGAAAATCTGTAATCATTTTGGTCCAGTACTTTGCTCAGCGACGTCACTGGAGCTTTCGGCTCCCGAAAGCGACGTCACGTGATTCGTCGCCCATGGGTCCCTGTTTTTTGCCACGCAGCCTGCGCGATAGAGTCGACGGATTGGGCCGCAGCAATCGCTCTGCGCGACTCTTGAGTCTGGCTGTGAGTGAGTCGCATCTGCGGTCGGGGGTTGTGAGTTCCCAAGGTGATGATCTTCTCACAGAAATGCAAAGGCATATTGCTTTTTAGCTCATGGGATGTAGCCTCCATTGGCGGCAAGCAAGGATGTAAATCAAAACCTCGAACGTGGTTTTTAGACTCCAAGAGTTTTGGACAATCGTCAGCTTCTAAAGTGCTACCTCTGCTCCTGTTTTTGGGACATGAAATTCGAAAAAGTTCACCTCTGTGGACCCTCGAGGCGTCCGGTGTCAAGGCATCACTTGTTCATACAGCACTTCTTGTACCTCGGAATGGAAATGCTGGAGGCTGAGTTCAAGATGCATCAAGGCGGGGGTGCGTTCGACCGGAAAAATGCGACCGTCCGGCCTTCGGCATAGAAAAAAAAGCTCCCCTATGGATCCACATACCTTCCGAGAAGGTGATTCTTAAGACACTCTTTATGTAGGTTTGGAGGATCCAGTCGTACCTTCTGGGAAGCTAATTATGTGGATCCCTACAACCGAATTCTGCTTGAGATTCCCCTCCCCTCCGCTTGCCCCCCCTGTTCCTGCCAGTTCCGAAGGGCTTTCGGTCAGACTCCGCACGTTCGGACGGTCCGAAGGTCTGCCCCTCGACGAGCCCGGGAGCTGGGTGTCTCGATGGCCCCTGGTCTGGCGCTACTCGACCGTCATGGTGAGCTGGGTGTCTCCAAGTCATGGTGTGTTAGGTGTTCTTTCCTCAGGCCCACTTCAAATCCTCAAATCCGCTGATGAGTGGATTGTCATTTGTTCAGATCGTAGATGAACAAACCAGCCATATGAAAGCTACAGGCTACATGATTGAAAAGACATCAAGTTCTTGAAGGTTCAACCTTCCATTAAGGCTAAATGGAGGTTGCGTGGAGAAAGGGGGTCTACCCTTCCGTTTGCCTCTGATTCCAGAGCTTCGAGCTTCAAAAACCTATTTTTGGTTCCATCTCGCTCGCGGCTCATCCATCCGCACCGCCCCCTGTCTGGCCCTACAATAGCGCCGCATCATCTCCGCTCCTCCAGCGCCGAGTCTGTAGTGAACTACTCGGCGGCGGGTCGTGGCCGAGGTGCTTCTTTCCCGAGCCGCAGTCACCTGTCGAGTCGCGGATGATTCAATGGAGAAGCTCCAGCTCCGTGCTTTCTCCAAAATTGCGGACGTGAAACAGTTGCATTGGAATGATTAGGGCAAAGATGCGTGTCACTGTAAATGGGTCTGATTCAGATCAAAGTCCAAACTGATCGACCATGACTTGCCATGCCAAGTCCGAAAGTGGTTGCAACTAAGTAAAGGAAACACTTCGACATTCGTCCTAATCTTTCTCCAGACACTTGTTGTACACATGCGGTCACTTTCACGGACATGAACTGGCAGCCCATAAAAGGCACTTGCCAAAAACATGAAGAACCAAAACCAAAAACATGAAGAACGTCTGCCAAATTCCTAGAATCCATGCGACCAGTTGGACTACCAAAGGTATCGTGAACTGTGGCCTGTCATATCAACGCAGGTGTCGTACGGGGTGTAGGACCTTGGGCTACATGGTGGTTAAGATCAAACCAAACTAACAAAGCTACCAAAAAGCAACCAGGACAACTAGGACAACATCATATCGAGTATTCTGTAGATAGTTGCAACACTCACCCAGTGACTCTAGTGAGGACGACAACTCCAGGGCACAGTCCGTGCCCCTTTCGGCACTTGCACCGCAAGGGACTCCTTATGAATGATCAAGCTTCCACCTCCCCCAACCAAAACCAAATAACACATAGACATAAACAAAAAATAACAATAAACATAATATGTTTCATAAAATTGTTCCGATGGGTTTGATAAAGATACAACATTTTACATGATATGATTAAACGTGCATAACAGGCCCAAGGCATCCCATCGTCGGTGGCCTGTGAGGTCTTCCCTTCCTCCCACCCCCCCCTTTTTGAAGCCATCCCAACTTAACAAAACATACCTGTTTTAACCTGTTTATATATTTGTTTCAATGATTCAACATGTTTCTTTCTCCTCCAACTTAGGCCATCCAGCCATTCACCTCCAGTCGAGGGGCAATTATCATTGGGCTTCAACTTTGGTGCTGACTTCGCGGTGTAGCCTCCTGTCTTCACCACGGCCTTAAAGGTCTGATCCTGGACCGAGCTACCGAGCCGCGTCGGTCCTTTGGAGGCTTGGAGTGGACATAAACCTGTGTAGAGATCGATGTAAGACTTTCTTCGGGGCAGGACCTGACTCCAAACATTTGATGATCAAATACTCTCAGTATACGGAGTGAAGTAAAGTGAAATCAGGAGTCTTGGGACGTAGATGGACGTGACATTAAAGAGTGACACGAGCAAGTGAATGCAAGTGAGTGATCTACATTGATCTGCGCATGCCGCATATGGCATTCACGGTGAGGTGACAAGGCAACATCATGGGTTTCATTTCCTTTCCCCAGTGCTGTCAATCCCGTACCACCTGCCCAATGCTGTCAATCCCGTACCGTTTGATGTCACTTCCAGGCATTTCTCGATGTGAGCATCTCTTCTCAACTTCTCACCATCCCCCATCCCCCATCCCTCATCCCTACACCATCCATCCGCCACAAAAACTGGCGTAGTCGAAGGCGGGCGGCATCCCATCTCGCCTTGTAGAGCTTGAAGGAGTGATCCTCCGGGTGCGTGCTCAGCGTTTGCTTGGCCAACTTATTGGGCATGACGCCTCATCCGCCACGGAGCAGGTTCCCGGAAGTGCCGGAAACCCTGAAGGCTCAGGCACAGTGCACGATTTGGGCGCGTGATGCTTTAGGGCCCATGGAACCCATAGCCATATGGAACCGCATGGTGCCTCATGATCTCTGCATGTTGTTTGCCCGCCTTTCGTGCTTTAAGTTCGCCAAAGGTCAATTTGGGAGTGGTGGCCCGGTTTGCAAGGTAAGGAGTCAGCAGCAGGTGGAGTTCCTGTATATGAGGGAACTGGGGATACAGGTCCAAAGACTCAGCAACACGTCCTTTACCTCATTGAGTAGTGGTTTTGCATGATTGACTCCAGCAGTAAGATAAGGTCGGTGGGGATGTATTGCAACCTCTTGGAAAACCCTGCCCTCTCTCCCCAGGACACGTGATTTCACCCCCCATCCATGCCTTGGCCACCAGCCCATGCATCGTAGCAGGACTCACACACATCATGGGAGGCACAGGACTTGCAGGCATAGCGGTACCCAAAGATGGGGATGACAGCACAGGCATCACCTCAGTCACTCAGCCGGGCGAAAAGTTTTATATAAATCCATAATGAATGGCCACTTGGATGATGAATCCTGCTTCAACGACTTCTGAAAATTCACCAGATCGAAGGCTGTGGCCCCGCAGGATGTTGGGGCCGTTTCGGTCAGCGGCGATGACCAGCGCTGAAACCCACTCGGTTGGCTTTTTTGAGTGGATGATCTAACACTCAGCACAGTCGTAGAAGCTGTTCAGAGAGAAGCGGCCCCGAGCCAACAAAAGATACATGGAAGCAATGCTGAAGAGATCTTAAGAGCCATCTCTGTACACCCCTCCATTCACCAGGATTCTCAAGGAGCAATGATGCTCAATTGATCTCTACTCACCAGGAGATGCTCTAAACATGTGATTCCTGCCTTCAGTGACTCGGGTTTGACTCATGGCTTCTGCTCGTGCAGCACGGCGCAGCACCAGCACCGTACGGCGCGGCACCGGCTTCAGCCAAGAGTCATGTGATTCCCTGGTGCTCCCCATAATACGATGTGGCTCCTGCCAAGTAGAGTGGAGCCAAGAGTCATGTGAGGAAATGACATTGAGGCGCATTGACGCATCACACAAATCACACCCTCGCAAACTATAACACATGGTCAGATGGACCCCTGTGAATTCACCCCTGCTTTCAAACCTTTTCTTCTACAACCCAGTGGTTATGGGGGAGGTCCCTGTGGTCCTCGGCCACGCCGGCCACGCCCTATGATCTGAAAAAGTATGGTGAATTCATGTGAATTGCCATCGACACCCCAGGCCCCAGACCCATGAGTTGAAGATCGGATTTTGACCGATACCCCAAGAGAGCCCTTGATCGATCACCCCATGAGCGGTTGGGGTGATTGATCAAGTGATTTCAGGTGAGCTCATTGATATGATTTATCCAATGCTCTGCTGTCGTGAAGCTGGTGCTGCATGTGGTGTCGCGTGGCTTTTGGGCTTTTGCTCGTTCCTTGGAGCAAAAAACAGGTGCAGCTCATAGTGACCTGGCTGAGGTATGCTGCGGCTGCTATGGTATGCCTCATGATGAGCTTGCAGTTCTTCATGCAGATGCAAACCAGTTTGTGTATATGGCAGCCGACGAATGTGATATATGTAGATCCATTCATTACTATTACGGTTAGCCACTTCATTTGAACTTCTGCGATCCCCAAAACGGTCGACGCAAACAGAACGTGTGCGCACTAGTGTGCGCTATATAGTGCATCAAAAACCAGGACTTTTGCGAGGTAAAATGATCATGCAGCTTGTCCCCTTTGTCTGCGTAGCCCCTTCGTAGTCCACTCTTGGGGCCAAATGAGGGCGGCCCACACACACATGCCACCCGACAAGGAGGTGAACCTTCACGCCCCGGAGGGGTGATTGGTTTCGCCCACGGTGGAGCTCCTTTTTCTTCGATCTCTTTTCTCTTGGCTTCCTGGAAAGCTTTCAATGCTTCATCCTGGCGGTGCACAGCGGCTGAGGGGCGAGGGGGCTAAAGCATGACAGAGTTGCTGCTATGGACCATGGATGCCTGGCAGTACCGGAGGCAAGTATTTGCGGACTCCCACTTGAGCAGGCTTTGGCCGGGCCTTCTCTCGCAAAGCCTTGGCAGCGGCAACACGTTGAGCGATCTCGGCACGCTTGCGCTCTTTCTCCTCCTGCGCTGGTGAGGAAAATGAACCGAACATGCTTCCTTGAATGGAGCACAAGTGGAACTGAGGGAGACAGGATTCAATATTATTCACCAAGCTGGAAAAACACTTACTTCCAAGAATTGGGCCTTTTTTTAAGTTGGTCGCTGTTTCGTGCTTTGCGTTTCAAGACTCCTTAGGCCCTACGCATCGTGCAAAAGAACATGATTGAACAATTTTATTGGTGGTCTCACTCCTTTGTTCGATAGGTTTCAAGGTGAAGGACAGGCTTCCAAGAGCAAATTGACACTTAATCAGTTGGAAGATCGGCTGTTCAATAGAACAAAGAAGTTCTTGGAAACGCACAGATCTTCACAAGTGTTCGCAGATCTTGGTGGATTGTCAGATGGAAATCATGAAAGGTTTTTGACTGGAATAGGTTTTTGACGAAAGTAAATTATTATGCGTCCTTTTTGAGATGCATGTTGATAGTTCTTCACAGGAGGCCAGGTTATGAGAAACACCTACAGTACCCTTTTTGATTGAACGGGATCAATTCCTCTGATCGGTGTTGGGCAGCTTGTGCTGTCTTCTCCTCCTCGCTCAGTGGGACTTTCTCTGCCTGATCCTGGAAGAACCAAAGGCCCAGAATCATGGATAGGGATTGGAATGAGTTGAAGTCACAGGAGGAATGGGGCCGTTGGCCCTTCTTAATGAACCCATGTGTCAACTGTAAACCCACTACAATAGGATAGGTGTTCTGTGTTTCCGTTTTGCATTGGCTTGTGTGCCCCCACCAAACTCACCAAACCGGCCTGTTGATCAACAAGCTATATATATATATATATCCTATTGTGGGAGTCCGTGCATGTCCTCTGAGCACTCCTCCGAGGAGCTGAGTGCTAAACTCTCAGTGCTTCGGACGAATTGACGCTGGACAAGGCCCTTAGAGAGACCCAGGCTCAACAACAGGCAAACTGTGGATAGCTATTGTCTAGAGCAGTTCTAGTAGACTATACCCGGTGTATACGGATATACAACAGACTTCTAGGCACATGACAAGGTTTGGGGGGGACGGTCGCAAGAGGAGCAAGTCCAAAGAACTGGGACACCCGTAGAGGCTGGGTTGTCTTGCAAGACTCCGGATGTGCAACCCTTGGTAATCAACAAAAGGGCATATCTTACACAAAAAGAAATCCTCAAATGGTCAAAAAGTGCGCGCTATGGATGGAACTTACCCATAATTAAGTTAAATGCAACAGGGATCAAGAGGGGTCTGGTGGCCGAAGCACGGATTCCATGAGAAGCAGCCCCAAACAATGCCTAATGGAAGCCCTATTGATTAATATAGAGTTCGAGATTGAATAGTTGAGATGTTCTGCGATATCGAGTGGGGAGTCACCTCATAGAAGTAGACTCCACACGCACTCCAAAAGCAGCGGTGGTCCCTCACACCAGTGCAGCCTGAATTGACCAAAGCCAAAGAAATAAAACATCTATGTAACCTAATCAAACAAAATACTATTTACCCAGGCCCATGTGACTGTTTGCTTGCGCACCCTGTTTAAAACGGCATGCGGCATGTTTCTTATGATCCTGAAAATTCTCCCACAACTCATTCACCTAAGAAATTCCACAATAGCGACAACGAACGACATCCCGAAACTGCCTCTGGTGCAGCCTCCGGCTTGGGTGCTTCAGGGCTCTCGATCGTCGCATCCACCTTGAAATGCAAGTATCACCAGGTTGCTTGCCCAGCAAGCTCCAAAACAAGCACTAGACTGATTTCTCCAACATGGGTTAAACTTCAGGCCCTCATCACTCGTGTCACCGAATGAGATTCCTTTTGCTGATCCCGGTGGGAAGATCATCCTGCAGACGCCGCAATGGGCTATCAAAAAATCATACTCCATTTGGCCAATTGTGGCGCGCCATACTTGAACGCGGAACCATTCCATCCAATTCCAAGTGTTCAACGGGCTCCAGAAAATTTCCCCATACAGATTGTCGCCGTAAAGTGTGAGCACAAACATGCAACTAGTTTACTTGTTGCTCATGGGTGATGTGTCACCCTGCAAGAATGCAGCATATGAAACCTCTCGGCCCATCCCATCCGCCTCTCCCCCCATGAGCTCGAAGGTCTGCGCGTCTGACTAAACCGACTTTCAGTGCGAAACGACCTGTGAACGGCCTGGTGCTGCCAAATGCCGCATCCAATTGCATCTGCTTCTGCTGTGACATCTGTTTCTTCAATTTGAGCGCGAAGCCCCCCAATTTACGGCCCTGTCTACAGGACGGCGAGGTCGACCGAGCCAAGACCAAGGCCACACAAATCTCAGAAGGCCTTAAACCTTGGATGCCTTCCTGTGCCCCAAGAGCTCTTCAGGAGGAAGACGTCTAATCAATGAGCACTGGAATGCCGTCACCAAGCCGTCCGATCTTGTTAGTATACAATATTTATAATAGAGCAACCGCTCGACCAGTTCAGAAGCATAAAACGTGTTCTTGGGGCTGGCTGTCGGAACTTCCAAATTCTCCAATACCCTCAGTCCTATCATGAGGATAGCCGTCATGGTTTCTGTGAGTTTGGTGAGTTTCCTTTGACACACGGCCTCCCCCCAAAAAAAGGGAATACCGGAGGAACTGTGTATCACTGTGTAGTGCTTGACAGTTTGGGCACCATCTATGGGAACCCGTTGGCGCGGCCATCCGGTCGCTAAAGCCACGTCTTTGCGCTCTCTCTCTCTCTCTCTCTCTGGAGGGTCCAGCTGCAAATTGCATGCAATTGCTGTGAATGACTCACAATTTTTACATATTCAGTGGACTTGAAGGGCTGTAGTCTTTGGATCTCGGGCATCTGGGGCGCAGTTCTGTGATAGCGCAAGGGACAAGAATTAGGCTCAACATGTATCCAAACTAACCACTAGACTAACCATGCAAACCTCCGCACATTTTTCCTCGAAGTCTGGCTATGGACATTCCACAACCATGACGGACCCTGCCGCGTTCTTGCAACGCGCAGGGCATTGCAACCCCGCCAACGCTTGGTCAAAGCGTTCAAGAATGCCCGGATCTGTGGTGCGTCTCCGGCGCAAGAGAAAGCAAACAGGTGCCAATTGGCCAGTGGAAAGTGCACACGGGCGAGGTTAAATCTCCGAAATACTGGGCAATGCTTGGCTGAGCAACCAAACTAAATAGTACGGCAGCACCTTGCGCCCAAGTGACAATGTGGATTAATATGGATCAAGGTCACCTCACTTAGTCTGGTCCAAATCGAAACCAATTTGGTCCCAAACGGCCTGAACACGCACAAACCCACGTGGCAGTCGCGTGAAAAGGGCGGCGCTCGGTGCCGTGAGATGCTCAGGAGGTTCTTTGTCTCTTGGCACCTCAGCGTGTCAGGTCTCCCAGGGGTTCCGGGTGAAGCTCTAACATCAAATCAGGCATGAGGTAGACTCTTGATTAATTACCCCCCTGCCAGATATGGATGGCAAGACCTCTTCATATGGGGGTTTCGATTCTTGAAAGAGTCTACTTGGGGTAGGTCGCATGACAGTTGATGATGGGTACAGCAAGTATGGTGCGCATCTTTGACCAACAGCAGCAGGAGAAATGCCCTTCCAAACGGCATTCTATTGCAATTTTTGGTAACTTTGAATACATCACACCGACATTAAAAAGCGTCCCTGGTCCTTTCCCTCAAACATGCGATTTAATTAGTTTTATCAATACGTATAATAATCAGTGGAACTATGTGGAAATGTATGGACTTTAGGACCTAGGAACTTTCAGATCCGAATGCGCCCGAAGAACAGAACGTTGCACAAAGAATGAGCACGAGCTTGGCTCGCATGCAAACTTTCTTGGGAACATGATGTTGCTCCATCCAGGCAGGGTCCGTGAGAATTCTGCGAGGTGTCTGCACTTCTCCTGGGTCCACCTCTCCTGGACATACCAAGTTGCTGCTCTCGACCTCCGCCTCTGGAGCAGTGGCCTTCAACTCGCGTGCCATGAACAAATCAACCACACCTGTTTGTTGTGACTTCTTTAGATGGGCTGAAACAAAAGAAGCTATGGAACCATACCCCTCTTCCCCACCAGAGAAGTTCCATGAAGTTCCAAAAGGAAAAACACAACAACATCATCACCTGAACAGCAAACCCAGGGGTGGAACCTTGCACTCTTGGGCCATGCGCATTCCGAACATGTGTTCCAGGCTCGCCTCTCCCGCCTCTGCTGTTGCTGCCTCTCCGGATGGCGCCGCTACCTCTGCAGCTGGCTCCTTCGAATTACCCACAGGAGGATCAGCAAAGCTTCATCAGTTGTCACACCCTGTTGAAGTCAAGCACCAACTCCCACAAAGCCCATGGAACATGTGGCACAATTTTACCGTTGCTGTGGAACGCCGGTGTCTGGTCGATCTCAGCCTGGGGGATCTTCATGTTGAAGGGAAAAGTCGACAAGAAGTGGGAACGGGTACACTAAATCTTCTCTGGGGATGAAAAAGCATGACAGCAGGCAGTTGCCCTTCCAAGCTCAAGAAAGGAACCATGACCAGGCCAGAACTAGCAAAAGGTCTTCTAGCAAAAGGTCTTTAGTCTTTACGTCCGCGATGAGTTGTTAACCACCACTATATCCACTCAAGGTAGATGTTGTTTGGTAGGCACCTGCCTTAGACAAAAAAAACACGTAACCTTTTCAAACTGCCGCTGGCCATCGCTGGCCCCATGTCCTGCAAGATGCTGGTGGGCAGCCAGCAAAGGCCTCCATCCTCTACTCGGCAGCAGGAGCTGCCGGACTCGTGGTCCAGCACGACCTCATGTTCCGCCGAAACTCGGGCCACGGCGGGTGCGCCGGCTTCCGGTTTTGAATGGACTCGTGCGCAGGTTCGTCGAGTGTGATCTCCAGGAAAATGTGCATCCCATGATAACACCAAAGCACATCATCTCAGCTTACTTTCATCGATGTGGAGGTGAGTTGACTGCACTGCCTCCTTTGGAAGAGGCAACTGATTACTGCATCCGTGAATGCAAGTAGGTTCGCCAGAACAATGGCTGAAACGCTACAAATGCTCGACCAATAGGACAGCGGTCACATCTTCTGTACGTGGTCATTGACCTGCCAGGTTTCAGAGTTTGTCCAGCCTATTTAGACGTTGAGGGTGCGTTTTTTGTGTGCAAGATTGACCTCAAGCAGGATGTGCCTGTTACTCTTGGAGTGTGCTAGTCAGCTATCATTTCAACAAACGTCAAAAAACGGAGGTAACTGCCAAATGCTGCCAGAACTTCTGATGTAGAGTCTCACCTGTAGGCCCTTGGTGGAGGACAAAAAACCATTGGCTCATGGCTCATCCATGCCGACAAGCTGACTTTGTGCTCCCCAAAGCTTTTGAAGCGATCCGAAGGCACGTGGAGAATCGATCCGGCACCAGAACTATACCTTTCGATGTTTGCGAGACGGGAAGCCCTGAGAGATATCCTTGGAACGTGTTCCATGCATTTTGCAAGTGACTTAGCATACAGTAGAACATGCAAATTATATCACTGTAAAAAGTAAGTCAGCAGCATACCTATTATTTAGGTCTCAATATTCTTTCAAATATCTCTCATATGCCGGGAATGCTTGAACCGCTGAAGCCCAAATCCTGCCAATTCCCGGTGCCTCCGCTTTTCGGCCCGGCAGGTTGGACATGAAGTCCTCCGAACGGCGCTCGGTGTACTGGGTTTGGAGGAGCTCAAAAAAGGGTCGGATTCCAAAAACATGGACTTCCTGGGAATGAATTAAGCAAGCAAGAGTGCGTTCTAGAAGATCCGGGTGGTGAAAGACTTGATTGTAGTGAATGCACCGTTGATTTGAAGCCTTGGCTCAAGTTTAAGATGTCATTCTGGTGTCTACTTCGTAATCACGGCATACAAGATATTACAAGTGCTTTCCACTGGCGGAACTTCACCTAGCCCCCCGTCACATGACAAAGGTAGATAGGCTACTGGAAGGAGTTCACTTCTCTGTGGTTTGGTAGATTAGTAGATGGTTGTCATTCTATGTGTAGTGGAGTGTTGCTTTTCACAATCAATTCAGTCGAAAGCAATGCCGCCTACTCTATATATAAATATATATACATGCATGCCGCCTCTATCTGGTCAACGCCCTACCGCCCCCCTAATATTCAGCATCTCTGGCACCATGATGATAGACCACTCCTTGCGTGTGCACTTCATTCCACACATCTGCTAAGTCATCGGTTTTCATCACCCCGCCATGGCATGGCGCTAAACCAGCTCTCATCCACACGATAATCTAGATCCCGCTTCTTCCCGCCTCCCAAGTCAGGTTCTGGCTGGCCTGACCGGGCAAAACACGGCGCGGGAACAGAGCCATGCATGCTCCGTGGGGTGTGTTGAATGAGTTTCTTTCTGCTCCTTTTTCACAAAGATTTGTTTTGAACACAATCCAGTGTGAGGAATGGTACTTTGAAGCCTTTACTACTATGTTCCACTGAGTCCTCGACACAAACATCGACAATGCATTCTGTCTTCAGGAAATGCTGCACCCCGATGAGTCCAACTCTGCAGGCTCAAAGTTGTCCATGTCGAGTGGTTCTATTTTTGCGACCTGCTCCCTTGAGCACTGGAACCGGGCACCGCTCGCACCTCGACGGCGGTCTTCAGCAGCTCCAGGGAGGGCAGGACCACGGTGCGCAAGGCCTCCGCCTCCTGTCGCAGTGTCCAAAGGTGGTAGGTGCTACCAGTTTATCGGGGGCTCGGTGCACTTTGCGACATCATGCGACGTCCTTCATTTCTTAAAGGGACTCCCCTTGGACAAGGGCCTACATGGAACCCCGAAACCACTGGTTGGTAGAGGCAACCTTTTTTTTGTTGCAGAACGACGATTGTGAGGGTCCATATTAGTTTTCGGGAGTGTACGTGTTGGAATTCATGCGAAGGGTCTGAAGCGGAGAGAAGGCACGAAGGCAGAACAGGGGTGTGAGAAGAATGATATGAACATGCGGGACCTCCATCAGGTGTCTTACATGCTAAACCAATGTGCGTGAAAACCCTCCAGAAAAGCCTCCAGATCGCTGGTGGTTGAAAAAAATCTCCTTCAGCTTCCGCCACACGATCTTTTTCTGGCACCAGGGGTGGGATGCACACCACATTAACCTCCATTAACCCTATCGGGGCCCCCGCCCCAAATGGCTGGCGACCCATCCACGGCCCGGCGCCTGGAGCATGACTTCGTCCGAGTCTTCGGAGCCGGACTCGCCCTCTTCCAGGGAGAACTCCAGGTCCGGAGCACCTGCTTTGGTGCGGAAGGGGGAGGAGAGGGGAAGTGGGCTCGGACGGTTGAGTGGTGGGGCCCTCCTAGCCCCCCTCAAAAAACACAACCTGAAGGAAGGAAGGAAGGAAGGAAGGAATTGCATTCCGTATACTGATGATTGAGAATAAACCTTTGCGCAAGTGAGAAGGCCGGAAACGACCAACACGATGCTCAAGATTCTTGCAAGCATTGTCGGGTGAGTGCAGGTCACATGTTCATCTCACAATGAAAGTGCACAATTGATATTGAGGCAAGAACTCCTGCAGCAACCCACAGAGACAACATCCCATAACTTACGGTCGACTGAGGAAATTGTAGAAGCTATTCTATCAGCACTTGGCCATGCTCAACTCCCCTGCGACTGGCTTGACCTGGATCAAGCTAACTTTTCTGAGGGGGTTCCAGGAGGCATTTGATCTCTCTTGCAGCTCTTGCATGGAGGTGTGATCAGAACGGTGCGTCAAGGTCTGTCGCCTAGTGGCTACGAAAATTACAAGCCCTAGCCCTTTCGGGCTACAAGCGGAAATGCAGAACCAAACCTGGACTACGTGAACTACAAGACACTGATCAATGTGAATGGCGGGCTGTAAAAATAACACAGCGGCCTTCTAATTCCTGGAGAGCCTTCGTCGGCAGCCATCTTCTAAGGCCTTAGCCCCGGAGACGGGTCAACTTATGCACCATGCATACGGATTGGCGGTAGCAAGTGCATGTCCACAAAACAAACATGCATGTGACACATGTTGTTGTGCTTTTCCTGGACTGTGTGTCTCCTTTATGGAATCTTGATGAAGTTCGGTCAAGCCTGCGCAAGTCCGGGTCTGTTACTAGTTACTAGGGGAAACACGTACTTTTTGCAAGATCCTTTGCAAGCAAGCCATCCAAAGCACCCACTGATGCATGTACCCAACCTATACAACTGCACAATTATTCTGCTGTGCTCCAGCTACACCAGCTTCCCTCTCTCCCACTTAAAGTGACTAAACGGGACTTCCTGACCAAGGTCTCTTTGGGATGAAGCTGCAGTGCCTAATGAGTGGCCTTGGCAGCAGGGAGGGTGCGAGTTGGTACACTTCACCAAGGCTTAGGATATCTATACATGTTCAGGGTTGACTCCGCTAAAGCAATTTCAAAGTGGTGAGCCCAACTCTTGAGCTCGTGCGTCTATCCGGTGATCCGACCATGAGTCAGGGGCGACCAGGAGCTCAGAACCTCCACCCACCTCTCCAAAACCATGTGCCAAGGAGTGCAAGAAGAACGGCTTACCCAATTTGAGCCCTAGCCAGGCGCCCAGCTTTGTGAGTTTTCTCCTTGCTCCAATCCTTTGTGAAGCCGACTCAGGAACCGCCGCTCAAAACGAGTCTCCGTTAGGGTCATTGCGTATGCAAGCTTGGAGGCTTCATTCAGTTGCTGAAGAGCCTTGACCCGTGCGGTCAAACGGCCTTTGCCGAATCGAAGCACCTCCGGGGATTTGGCAAACAGCTCTGTGCATGACCTTGCACCGAGAGCAGTTTGGAGGAAGTCTACCTTGGGCATCAGGTTCTTGGTCAGGCTCAACCCAAAAAGACGCGGAAACCAGACAGCTGTCCGAGCGACATCTGAGCTGCTTAGGCCCAAGTTCAATAGCCACTGCGATGTAGGCTTCAGATTCTGCTCGATGCTGTAGCCAAGGATTGAAGGAAATGATGCAACTACCTTTGCCACCTGAGGTTGGCTCAGGCCCAAGTCCAATAGCCACTGCGTTGTAGGCTTCAGAT